CACTGGTATATTACTCCGTTGGAAAATCCAGTTGTAATTGATCCACGCCTATTAGTTCTGGATCCCAAGCCAAGTCGACCTCGCGGACGGCCATCAGGCGCAACCAATCGAGTTAAGAAGGAGGAAAGATCTATCCACCGTAATCTCAGTGCCTTTGAGCGCGTTGATCAGGGTCAGCGAGGTGGTCAGCGAGGTGGTCAGCCAGGTGGTCAGCGAGTTAGTGGTATGGAAGGTCGTATACGGGATAGGACGGCAAATCTGGAGATTAATCAGCAAGACCTTGTGATTATAGACTAGTACAAAGTAGGAAATAGAACCTGATCATTTTTCATTGCATTTTAAAGCGATTCAGCACCCAATAATTGGCTTGTAGGTAGGTGGTAGGTAGTGGTGGTGGGTGGTGGCGATGGAGGTAGGTAAAAAAACCGGCAGAATCATATGTGTGGCAGAATCTTCAACCGCTTTCCTACTTAAGTTTAGTTGGTAGTGCAACTGGAAGTCCGGGTAGTGCGCATAGAAAGTCCCTTATTGTCGATCGTTATCGATAGGGAACTTATTGATGACAAGCCTGGGTGAGGGGGCGGTGCGGAGAAGTAAATAAATAGTGTTGGTGTAATGACAATACCGGCGAGCTCATTACGAAATCTTGAAATTTCAACTTTTTTATCGATTTCAATTACATTTCAAGGGGCTTATTTTGATTAGTCATTATATGCGGTGAGAGTATTGCAGCCAATAAGAGCCTATCCAGCCCAGATTCTGCCCAATTCTTTATCTTATCTAAAATGCCTAGTGTCACTGGTAGCAACCATTACCAATATATATATATTGACGGGGAGGATTTTAAACTAGTAATATTATCAACATCAGCATGGCTGAAGATTCTCCTGACAAGATCCATTACACCGAGATCGAGCTTCAGAAGTGCTTTGAAGTAGTAAGGGGCAGCACAAAGGTGACTGTACACCCACGTCCACACGTACGCTTTATTAATTTTGGCTAGGTCCCGCAAGTAAAATGCCTTGGGTGCTTCAAAGTTCGAGCGAAAAACACTACACGCCAGTGCGAGCACGTGAAGAAATGTAGCAGCGCGCAGGCTCTTATGGACCCCGAGAATACTCCTGGAAAGAGACAGAAACCATTAAGCTTCCCTACCTCTAAACCAAGTAGAAGTATTGATCGCTTACTAGCTCAGGTGTGTTTTACAGGAGGCAGGCCCTTTAGCCTTTTCGAGCAACAAGAGATGCAAGATCTTATTCATGCTCTAAATCCCGTATACCAAATCCCATCCCGCCATCGAATCGCTGATGACTTACTGGAGGAATCATATATCGAGATACAAGGGAAAGTTCGGAAGGAGCTACAGAGAAGTCAGTTTCTAAATATCTCTGTAGATGAGACAACAAATATACGTTCTCAACGGGTTATTGCTATGACTATTACAACACCCACAAAATCATGGTTTCTTCATCTACATGACATGGAAGATAAGACGCTTGATGCTGCTACAATTAGTGAATGGATTTTGGAAAGGCTCCATAATATTCTCTTGGAGCTTGATAAAGTTGTTGACTGGAAGAGGATTAATTCCATTTCAACGGATACCTGCTGTGTTATGAAGGCAGTATGGCAAATTTTGTCAGAGAAACCAGAGCTTAAGCATGCCTTTATGATTCCCTGTGACTCTCATGGTCTACAGCTGATTATGAAGGATATTCTTGATCCTAATGCTTCTAAGATCCCTAAAGTAAAAGGGGTTTTAAATCAGCTCTTGAAGTTGTGGTGTTCTTTCACCAATCTCCTCTTGAATATGCAAGGCTGCAAGCAAAGCAGATTGAGAAATGGGGCCATCGAAAGGCTTTAATTGCAGCAGTTATTACCCGATGGGGTACTCAATATGGCATGCTTACTTTCTCTTTATGATTGCCAGGAAGCAGTTTGTGAGTGGGCTCTTATTACTCCTGCTGCTTCTACCATAAAAGGGAAAGAGGTGATTAGAACAACTAAATCTCATGCCTTTTGGTGGGAGCTAAAGGAGTTAATAAAAATCCTTAAGCCTCTGCATATTGCTCAGAAGGAATCTGAGGCCCAAAATTCATCAATCATGGAGGTAACGCAGCGGTGGTTAACCCTCCATGAGACTCTGCGGACGCTTGCTGCTCAGACATCCTTTAAAGATGATTTTTATTCTTATCTAGATGGCACTGGTTGGCAGACTCGAATGCTACGTCAACTAGAGCCACTTCACTGGGTAGCGTATCATCTTGATCCAGCAAGAGTTCCTGGCAAACTTGATGAGAGCGCACGACGCCATATTGAAGGTGCTTTACGACCACTTCAAAGCGAAGATGGAAGATCTACTGCATGGCATGAATTTCTGGCATTCCGGCAAAGAACAGGTGCTTTTTATAATTCCTCTTGTTGGGAAGCAAGAACACCAGCTCTCTTTTGGCTTGAGGCAGTAAGTTAAAGCTATATGCTATTAAGCAAGATACTTACCTATATTAATTTAGGCAGAATTTGCTCCTACTCTTGCTCCTTTTGCTCGCCGTCTGTGTAATACTGTTGCTAATTCTGCTGCAGCTGAGAGAGCTATTTTCACAGATGAATCTGCAGCATACAAAGATACGGAATCGGCTTGAATCTCACCGAGTTGAGAAGCTACTTTATATACAGATTAACAAACGACAATTTCGTGCAGACTCGCCACCTACCGTTACCCAAGAGATGCTTCTTGAGGAGGAAGATCAGGAGATAGAAAGAATACTGCAGCGTAAGCAGGTGCAGGACTATCTATTAGAGGTGCTTGATACTTCAGACTCTGAGGAGGATATTCCACCGGACCCTGTGCCGAACCCAGTACCAAATCCAGCACCAGAACCAGCGTCGAATCCAGCACTTATTGCAGTATTAAGTTCTGCATTAAATTCAGCTTCAACTGCAACAAACCCGGCACTTGTTTCTGCATTAAATTCAAGACTGAATTCCGTGTTAAATTCAGCCTCAAGTCCCCCCAGCTTTCGAATTCGCATACTGAGACAAAATCTGTACCAAATCCCCTTTTAACATGTCCCAGGCCTTCAGCTTCTATCAGAACGGGCGAAATCCATGGTATTGAAATAAGTAGTGGTACTGGTAGCGGAGTAAAGCGTCAGTCTGAATGGTCTCATGGGGTGGCGGACCATTATCAACAACCTACTCAACAGCAGAGGATCGGAGCTTCTGGTAACAAAGCACATGACCTTTAATATTGCCTATTTTGGATTAGCTTAATTTCAATTTCAATTTCACAGATTTTGATTTCATTTCAGGAGGCCAGATTTCATGAAATTTCAATTTTTGAAATTACATTTTGCCTTCCCTATAAATAAAACTAGATACAAACAATGCAAACAGACCATGTGCACCGTCACAGTTATGAGTCGCAGATCAGTACCTGCCAATATGCTAGGAAACTTTTAAATCCAACTAAATCATAGAGCCAACATACAGGCATTACACTATGGATGGATGGATGGATTTCATTTACCCTGACCTCTCGCCAAAGCGATATGTAGGCTACCTCAACTATATATATCTCTATATGTACATGTAGAGTGCACGACTTCCTGAAAACAAACTTAGGGCCTCGTCAAGGCCTGTCGTGGCCTAATTGCCGCTCCCATTGTTAGGCTGCCCTCGTGGCGCGCGACTTCGGAACCGCTGTAACACCTCTGCGAAGTCTAAGACAGCCTTGACAGTCCGGGCCTGTAAGACGGTGTCTGGTTTACCTTTCTTACCTTTTTTAAGCCTCCTAGCAAACTTAACATGCAATTAAATGCGACCCTAACTTCTCTCCTTAACTCCCTTCGTAATTCCCTTAATTTAGGGCAGTCCACTAGTATATATATAACTGTTTCTTGCGCGCCGCACGCGCAGTGATTGTTGTTATGAAATCGATAAGCTTTGGTGTAGGTGGACAACTAACTGTAGCCTGTTTGTAGTTGCATTAGCAGGTATGCGCGGTTCCTTGGTAGGTTTTTATATAGTCTTTTAGTGTAGGTGGCTGGTAAAGCGTTGTCGATTCTCTGTAGGTAACTACCCTTAGCTGTAGACGTCCATTCTTGCTCCCACTGAGCGAGGATCTTGTTCGGATGGAATCCTTCTTCCTTGTAAGCAGGGTACGGAAGGGGTGTGTTTTGCCCGGGTGTGCAGTATTTTAGCCAGGATCTGCTGCTCTTCCCTATATTATCACAGTGCCCTGGTAGCCATTGCAGGCGGAGTACAATACCCCGGGCTTGAACCTCTGCCGCTGCATGGAGGATAGCATGGATAATTTGTTGCCTGATTTGTTTCCTGGGTTTTGGATTGCTTGCAAGGCGGATTTGCTGTCACAAGGATTTCTGTTGTTGTTCGTCATCTGCTCTAGGGTAGCTATGGCGATTTAAATACCGAGCTGATAGCGCAAAAAATGACTATTAACTCTGCTACATAGACTGACCATCGGTCCATCAGTCCTACCTGGACCTGTTGCGATTCTATAATCCCGAGATTGTCATTGAGTGCTATAACGGCGGCTCCCAGGTAACCTTCACGCCCCGAGGCATCCGAGTAGACAATTAGGTTGGATGTGGCTCTAACAGTCTCAGCACGTTCTCTCGCTGTCTTCCAGTCTGACTCGACCTCAATTTCTGTGAAAGACTCGGCTCGCCACGGTGGCAAGGCATTACAGTATAGAACAAACCCAGTAGATAACTGGCTGTACAGCCGATGATGATGATGGATTCATACCCCGACCCTCGCCTTAAAGCGATATGCAGGATACCCCTATCACTGTTATCACCTACGAAACAGAGATGGAAATGAAACCAAATCGACTCTATTCGGTGCCTGCAACGAGAATACTAAAGCATGGAGAGGAAATGTTATGTGTCGGGGTTGGTAACGAGCTGAATGGGGCGCTACGGTGCGAAAGGAAGTGTCTATATGGGAGAGAAGATAGGACCACGTATATTGCAGAACTAATCACTGGCCTTCAGGAGTTCAGGCCTGCGGGTGCGAATATAAACACTTCGCACCTGACTAAGCATCTTAGCTAAGGATCTAGCTGTCGCGCTTCCGAGCGCTCCTAACAGGAAAGGAAGAGGATCGAGGCTAGCAAGGGGTAGATATCTCATGGTTTTCGCGTTGGACTGGGGTTAGGGAAACCCTTCTTTTCAACAGCATACCACCCATAGAATATTTTTTGGTCAGGATTCAACTTATCCCATGTGCGATCTTCACCTAAAAGCAGTTTCTCCCGACCATGCTGCTTTAACCATGTATTGAAATCGTTGAGACTATCGTCCCTTGAAAAGAATCCAGCAAGGCTTTTCAGCTTTGGGTCATTGGGCACCCTCAAGAGTTTCGCGAAAGCCCTAATCAAAGCGTCTGTTTGGCCTTTTGGAGTGGTGGTTGGTAGCGCATTTGAAGGATACTCGAGCCTTTGATAAATGAGATAATCAATTTGGCTTATCACTTTCTTCAGGCTGAGCATGTGGGATTGCTGAGGGCCATATTAGCAGGCCATCCTATATGCACGAAGTGATTGCTAACTGACCTCGGTGATTCTCCAGTTGCGATAGTCCTTGACAGTATTTGCCCATTCCGGCGGGCTGCAAAGGTTTAGCAAATATTATAAAATATATTTGAGCAACATATATATCTCACTTGGAACACAAGGTGGTATCGCCACCACGCGCCTCCCAGGCCAGGTTTGCATTCTGGTAGGCTGCACCGGATGACTTTTCATCTTCATTGCCATTGGCCTTGGCATAATTGACACCAAGGCTCAGCTTGGGCGATGCAAAGCTGATGCCCGCTGCGGTTTTCGTCTCTGCCTTGATCTTTTCTAGGTGATCAGTGCTTTGGGCATCAACAAACCGGGAGCTGTGTAGAAAACCCCCGAGCATGACCTGGGTTGGGAAGGCATTTCCTTTGTGCAAGACGCTTGGTCAGTCGGATGAGAAGTTTGAATCGCTAAATTAGTGCTTACCGTACTGCTTCTCGAACCTATCGACCCCGTCCAGATCAGTTATCTGCAGGATGTCGTTCCAACATTCATCTGACAATTGGAGGTACTCGGGGCTTAGGTCTACAGCCACACGGGGGAACTACTTTTCTCAGCCAGAATTCGAACACATGCAATCCAGTCAATCTCGGATATATATGTACCTTGTAGGCGACGTGCAGAGAGGTTTGCTTGCCCACGTCTCTGTTCACCGTAGCATGGGACTTTTCATCCTGCCATGACCCAGATGCAGACAACAAACCGCTAAAGACGTTACCGGACCTGGAGAAAAGCATTATTATATCAACTGGGATGATGAGCGGACGACAAAAGTGTTTAGTACTCACAGATTAGCCTCGATGGCGGCTGAATTAAAGCCCTGATCGGCCATTTTCTTTTGGAAGGCTGTCTGGGCCTCAACAACGGTGATGCTCGAGTCATCATGCACGTGAAACAAGGGGATTCCAGGGAGCGTGTTCTATCTCACAATCAGTTCGATAGATAAAGCAAAACGCACGAGTTACAATGTACCAAATATTCCCGGACTCCAGGTGCCTCTGTTTCGGTTTTCGGTGGTATCGCTTTTCTTTCCTCGAGTTTGTTGTTTGCTGGAATATCGCTGCCCACCAGCCCCCGTGTTGGGTCGGGTGTCGCGACGGGACGTTTGATGGCAAAAGCTAGTCGATAAGTTATATTAGCTAAGTAACTAGAAGGGAAGATGAAAAGATGAAGGGGGAAATACCTCTCTTGGGGGCCTTTATCAAAATACCGTTTTCGTCATTGTAATAGTATCCATGCAGCAATCGATTGTTAAACAGAATATTTTCCCACTGTGTCTCAGTCAGATCAGCAGCGTCGATGTAGGCTTTGGTGCTGGAACAGAGTACCCAGTTAGCTTGCTACTAAGACACACAAATCCAATTATGTACATGTTATGTGGTGGTTTTCACTTACTTCGCTTTGGTGATATAGCTTTCTTGCAGTGAAGCGAGATTGCCCAACAGCGCAGCTGTGTTACTCAGTTCACCAGCTTCGACGGGCTTTCGAAATGATTTCAGCAAGTCCTTAAGGTCTTTCCCCACAGTCGACTGAGCAAGGTTTTCCTTAGTCTTTTCCTCTTTCTCTGCCTTCACCGGGGAAAGAGAGACCAGCTTGATGCGAATGGTCTGGATGCCTTGGGAGTTGGAAGTGTTAGCAGAGTTATTACTATCTTCCCCGGCTGTGGAAGTGTCGGTTTTCTTGACACCATTCTGTAACTTCAGTTAGTCTTTGCCTAGGATAGGAAATGAAGGGCACCTACAAAGCTAGAAGTAAGAGAAATGTATTCCTCTAGAGTTGTCTCGTCGGAAATTGGGTTGCTCTCGTTGGCACTGAAAGCATGCGTGGTGGGCCTATCCCATTGATAAGTGACTCTCTTTCTTGAAAATTTAGAGTTGTCAATGGTGCATGCTATGGACCAACACTAGACATTTACTCCTGACATTGGTCAAAGTAGGATTCGCGCCCAGATCGGAAACCTTCACCGAGACCAGTGGCCTGTTCCCCTTGGGAGTGTCAACGGCGATATATTGGATCTGGGTCATGATGTGAGGTGGAAAATTGTCAAGACTGATAATTCTTCCGTTACCTCGTGGGGGCATTTGGAAATTATTATCTTCTAGGTATGATCCAGAGGATTCATCACAGTGGGGCAATTATGGTGTAGCTGAAAAGTGATGAACTGTTGTAACTGCAATGCATGAAGCTTATGCAGTCTTCACACCGCGTGTCCAGCTGATGGTCCGATTCTGCGCTGATCGTTGAATCATCATCTGACCCCGCCCGCTCTCGTTAATTGTTCATGCAGTTGTTGTTAAATTAGGAAATGCTCTTCCGTATATCCCTTCGCATACATTCTTGGCTCAGCTGAAATGGGCTTGCATTATTTCCTGCAGTGTGAAGTGTACGTGGATGGTCATGTTGGATGGGCATTCTCAGCTAATAATGATGGTACATGTGGCACTTTTGCTTGAGACACTGGGTAGTACCCAGCTCATATGTGTTAGGTATTGACAGTTGGCAGGAGAGGAGGATTCAGCTCGTCTAGTTCAGGTATGGATAAACAAGGATCTGGTGGATATTCAGAAGTGATGATTAATCCCTGCCAAAGTGAGAGGCAGTGATTAAAGATTTTCCATTTCAAAGTACTTAAAAGGTTCAGAATTCTTGATAAATTCTCTTCGCCTATCTGCTCCATTATATCTATTTATTATTAGTTTTCTATAGCACTATCTTACCCCTCATCGTTCATTATGGGATTCACTCCAGAGACCGGAAAGGCTATTGAGAAAGCCTTTGTCGAAGGCCCGAAAGCCTTCGTAGTCGATGGCAAGTTTGGTAATGGTGCCAGATTATCTCAAAAGATTGAGCCTATAAATGGTACGTTTCGAGAATATGTACCTGGCAGGTATGGTCCATCACTAACACCCTCATTCTGCAGCTATCCAGGCGTATGTCACTGCTGGCACCACTTATCCCGCAGAGGATAAGGAGTTTGAGAAGAAGCTTGCCAAAAGTGCATACGACCTAATTCACAAACCGAAGCCGGGTCTCTACGATGTATGCAACCGACCAGTACATAGAATTGAGACCATATCCACTAATTGCCTCTTTTACTTTTGCAGGACACGAAGGCAGCTCTCACATCCGTGTCAAAGTCATGCGCTAAGTTCAAAAAGTCATCTCTGGATGAGCTGGGTCTGCTGTAGCAGTTTCCCCTCCCGCCTCTGGGAGATGCTGACTGGGATAGTTTCGTACCCTACTATCATTATCGGTTACTGCAACAATGCGATCGACGCTATTGAGGGAAAGCGCACAGGTTTAAAGGAGCAACTTGATATCCTTGGAGATGAAAAGTACGAAGCAGAGGGATCCGAGAAAGACAAGGAATTCCAGAGGGCCAAGAAGCTGGCAGAATATGACCTCGATAAGATGATTAAAGAAGCCAAGGCAAATAGCGCAAAGGCTACAGCTATTAAAACGAAGTTGACGGATGTATGTAAAGAAACCATCTTTGCTGATGTGTAAAGGCCATGCTAACATAGGGCGTGTCAGTTCAAAAGCGAGACGGATACCAACAAAGGGCTAGTAAAAGCTCTGAACAGCACTTACTCTGGCAAGGTGATGTGGGAGGGCAAGTCGTATAATTCTGTACTGGAATTTATGGATGGTGAGTTGGGCGAGTTAGAAGCCAAAGTGACAAAGAAGAAGGATGACCAGGAAAAGGCTGAAAAGGAATTCGTGAGTATTGAAGAAGCATCAAAACCATCTGAACCTGCCTAATATTTTGATTAGAAAGAGAACATGGATCCTAAAAAGTGGAAATTCTGGAGTAACGCCCTCACGGTGCTTTCAGGACCCGCAGGAGCCCTTCAGTATTCTGCTGATATTATCAAGGAAGGGAAGGAATGGGTCAAGCTCTTGAAAGAGTGGGAAGATAGTAAGTCAGCTAAAGCCAAGGTCGCTTCATGTCGGTGCTCTATTGCCGCGCTCGACTCTCACCTCCCAATTCTGGTTCAGAAGATGGACGATGCTATTAAGGGCATGGGTATGCTGGGGAAGACCTTCGATGACCAGGTTCTAGAATTGGGACACGTCAAGGATAAGTTGACTGAAACGAATGAAAACATTGGTAGAGAGGGTATTTTAAGGGGTATCCTTATCAGAGGCGGAGTGGAAGAAGCTGCCATAAAATACAAGGAGGTAAGTCTTGGCACCTTATTTGTATTTTTGTATACTAACATACCCTGGCCAGATCAAAAAATTGGCTGACAAGTTCCACACGGATGTTCGTATGTACTCGACCTCGTAAAGCTATGTCGATACGGAGCTCTCGGTGCTATTAAATGAAAGACTAGACGTCAAATTTGTGCAGCTCCATTAGCTATATAGTTGTGCGAAGTCATGTCAACTGATTCTGTGTCTAACATAAGAGTTTTAATTGAGAGAACATGGCTCAAGAAGGCATGCAGAAGATAGACATGGAAATAGCAGAATATGAAAGAATGAATATGGGTATCTGTATGGGTGAGAATATGAAGCTATCTAGGAAGCGAGAGATTAACTCCTCGCGCCCGTCGATTTAGTAATTGGAACATCTTTTTATTCTCTCACCCAACACGCTAGAGCACAAGCTCTTATTAAAAGTACTGTATCAGAATATCAATGCAAATCGAATATGGAATGAAAACGCTTGAAATAGACTACCTCTATCAGAACACATACCAAGTAACAACATAATCTTTATGTCGACAGTAATAAAGGTATACATATTTCAGTGATGTGACAGCTTATTTGGTTTCTATTCGTGTACTACCGTACACCATTATGATAATCTAATTGTGCTTTCTTTTCTTGTTTTGTTTACAATATTATTAATACGAGCTAGACTGCGGCAAAACCGCGGTTTTGCCGCAGTCTAGCAATAATATTCTCTTTGCCTCGCTTGCGGAAGAATCGGTATCCCTTCTTGGTATGCTCGTTCCAGATGCCGTCTGCATATAAAGCTTGCATTGAAAGCAGGGTCTCTTTCATGCCTGGCACGTATAAAGCGTTTGGGATTCTCTTGATCATTATTTTGTTGTGTGCTCCGTGGGGGGTTTTTTCCCTGTGTTAGGGACCTACCATATTCGGTATGGTCACGTGGCCTCACTTAGTCACCCACCTAGATAGTCAGCTCGCCCGAGCTCCTGAATTGAAGAGAATTGTAACTCGCGAACACCCTGTTCTAGTCACATGATTCTGGTCCACCCACGGCCATATTATTTGACATGTATCTTATTGTTATGTCAAGTATTGTTACGAAAACACCATAATCCGCCCGACTTGGCGGTGCGGAGTATCTGACGACCGATTCAACCCCTGAATCCTTTAGATAGTGGAACACCTCAATGAGAATATAGGGAACCGCTTAGTAGGCTCAGTTGGTTGAGATACTACGATTCCTGGTGTTTCCACTGAATGACATCTACTTCCTAGTTAGGCTAGTTGGCCTGTAGCTGATAGAATAGCTCCCTACGCCCCATTTCCCCTGAGTTCCACAACAAGTATCAATCTCCACCATAGCCAATACCAAGGTCATCATCTCCAATGTCTCGAAATGCTGTACGTTGCCGGATTAGGAAACCCATTGTACACACATGGCCTCAAGCCCCGCTCTGCTGCAGTTGGAGGCATGGAATACTGAAAACCACAGACACCAGCGTTGATGAGCCGTCCTAGTGCATTGCTGCCCAAATAGGTCGACCTAAGACTGAAAGTGAGACAGTTTGATTGCACTCCTCAGTTTACCCAAGTGCTGCATCTGATTGGAGAGCTATTCAACTCTACACGAACTGAAATACATAAGCCAATTTAGGATCATGTAGCACAGCACCCTTCAATCCCAGAGCTCATTTGCATCCCACCTTGCGGAGGGATCGATAATCGATAAATTACGATAATTCCTTGGCATTATTTTATATAGTGGTATGAACTTTGGCGGTTCTGGTCACATGCCAAGAGCCTCGTGTGGCTGAGCAATCCCAGCTGTCAAAGCCTTTTTCTCCTTAGTCTGTGGCCGAAAAAGGTACTCGGTAGCTCGGGGCCATATCGAAATTCCCCCAGAAGACAACGGGCCATTTCATCAGTTCCAGTGGGGACAATGTAACCTGGTGGCCTTGAATTGGGCTGAGCATATTCTACAATATGCACTTCTTCATCTGAGCCTGAGGACAGACATTGAAACAGAGCTGAATTTACAAGGATTGGGGGCCTCTCGTGCCTCTTCCCTTACTCCCTAGTAGCGGCCCGACCCTGCCCAAGCCCCGCCCGCCTAAGCCTAACTTTGTTATGTCCGAATAATAATTTGGAGGAGTCTACGTAGTTTCTGTTAGAAAAAAGTCAGTATAATCTAGGTATTTACTATTTAAGCTTATTTTGTAGCTGTATCATCGGAGGGCTAGAGCGAGTAAAGAGTGGTATAGTAGAATAGGTTTGTGATCTATTATCTTTCATTTTATCTCTATTATATAAAGCTGTTCTTTTTATCTTCTGGCTTTTACAGTAGCGTGCGCGTGCAATCTGTTCTGTGTGAGTGGGTAGACTCAGGCTTTAACGGATTGGCTGTAACCCGGCCCATGCCGGGCTATTACATTGGACAGCCCAGCCCATTTCTTGGCGGGTTGGGCCGGATTGGGCCGGGTTTCCTGGGCCGGGCCTAACAAGTCTAGAAACCCGGGCTGTGCTAGCTAAACCTACGCTCAAGCCCCGGCCCACTCTGCACATAGCTGCCTTTCCCGCATGTTCTCCGCCAACCAGAAGTGGCGAGCTGAAGTCTGAACAAGTAAATGCCGCATGCCCATGTAGCAAGGGGGTCCAGATGAATGGAATTACCGAGATCCCGTGGTGGGACAGACATGTGGATCCATCCCCCGCAGACAGAAAGAAACACAGGGTTACGCCTTAGTTCGTATCGCCAAGTAAAATAGCATACAATTGAGAACGAATGTATAAAGGTCTGATTTGCTATCTAATATCAATATAGCCGATTTATCCTGGGGATCGCGGATTTCGGATAAACTAGTAAATCCACGAAATCCTGCTAGAATCCGAGGAGAATCCACCGGTAAAGAGCTGCACTTGAGAATTCCGGGATACGCTTAGGTCAACAGTATTTAGCCACTACTATCTACATGAACCTCAGTTCCAGTAATACCACCGGGTAGGAATACTATAAAGGTATAATATAGAAGTTACTTACCTCAGGTAGCATCTCACCAACCTTGGTTTTCACCAGTAAAGTAGCCCCTGGCCGCAGCAACTGCCAAAGCTGCAAAGTGGTAGACCCGGTCATTGTTGAATCTGCCTTGATCCCGGTCGATGCATTCATTCAAGTACTGTGCAATATTATTGCCATATTTTTCATCCACATTGCGGACAATCCCGAAGAAATCTTCTTCGTCGTAATTCCCTCCGTACCCGATATGTGGACACTCTGCGATTCTACCCCTTTGAAAAGCCGTTATGGCGCATTCTCTCAGTTTTGTGGGATCGACCATTGTGGCTTTGTAATGAATAGACAAAAAAGAAAATTGAACGTGTCTTGCGCGCTGGGGAAATAGTTGAGTAATGATAAGTAAGGTATGGTATAATATGATGATGACTTCAGCTTCTCACTTGCTAGGAGCGTAGAGCTTATCAGGTTTTATATTTCCTCTAGAAGCGGATAGCTGTGAGCTATGTTCCCTTAGTAGCTATCAATCCTCTAGTGAGGCATTTTAATCACTAACTCGCCTTGTTCAAGTCTCCGTTCTTGACATGCAGCAGTCCCTATTTGGTAATAACTGACTCATACTCTTTAGAAGTGGATTGGAGATACAACTGGCTAGTCATCCACCTGAAAGATGGGGATTTGCAAGGATAGGTCGTACCCCGCTACCCTCAGGTAGTCCAGAATGGCCCCGTCCTGCTTTTGAATTAGCTCATCCTATCAATGTATTGCAACCTAGTCCACAATATGATGTCATCGTTTCGGATAGGTATCACTCTCTGGTAATGTAAGTAGACTATATAGATGGCAGTTTAAATACGCAGTTATTGTGCAGTATCCCCTTGCCTGACAAGGCGCTAACTTTTTAGCGGTAATTTTTATTTGAGCATTTTATTGGCTAGCCCACGTTCACCGCTTTCTTCCTACTTGGGAATAGCCTTAACGTTGCCGCCCATCTGCCGCCCGTTCCCGCCTGCCGCCCGATTGCTCATACTCACCGACTTTTAGACTTCATGTTTTCAACACCTCATATATCAACAAATATGGATCCAATTGAAGCGGCAATAGAAGCAATCAATTCGTTGGAACCTGTAGAAACGATCAATTATACTAAAGTTGCGAAAGAGTTTAATGTTAACCGACATACACTGCGAAGACATTGTTATGCGTGGGGGTCGCTAACGAGCTGAATGGGGCGCTACGGTGCGAAAGGGAGTGTCTATATGGGAGAGAAGATAGGACCACGCATATTGCAGGACTAATCGCTGGCCTTCAAGAATTCAGGCCCGCGGGTGCGAATATAAACACTTCGCACCTGACTAAGCATCTTAGCTAAGGGTCTAGCTATCGCGCTTCCGAGCGCTCCTAACAGAGTAAACAGACATCATCAAGGAAAACAGCAGTCTGTGACGGCAGGCAAATCAGATAGATAAAATCATATTGAGTCGTATATCAAGAATACTAAAGATGGGGAAGAAAGGAAGAAGGTAGAAGGTCGTTGTCATGGCGAGCGAGGATATGGTGGGAAGCTTCCCAGCCCTAGCCCTGTGCCCTCAGCCCTTCCTTGTCCCAATACGGACTACGTGCAAACCATATAAACATTGCGTCACCGCGCTAACCTAAGCGCGATGTCCAAGGCCAGGTCGTCACACAGTCAAGGAAGCAGCAATATAAGGACCAGCAACTACTCAACAACCAGCAGGCCAAAGCTCTTATTAAATATATCAATGAATTAACAGATCGAGGCCTTTATATCTTACATGAAATGCTACGGAATTTTGCAAAGGATATTACAGGAAAGAAGCCGGCAAACCACTGGCCGGGGCGATTTCTGAAGCGACATAAAGATGATATTGACAGCAATATAACATCAAGCATGTAAGGGGCTAGAGCCTCTCAGCCTACTCGGGCCCTCAGCCCTCGTGTTTCCTTTCTCCTCGCCTGCCACATGATTAGTATATTGATTATATCCGATATTCGGCTAATACCGAATAGGAAAGTAGACACTATTCTTGAAAAGGTGCTTAAATGATTGCTTTAGATGGTTTCTTGATTATATTAATCAACATATGATTATTTTTGTGATTATTATTATGGATCATTAGGTTGCTTCTTCTGCTAGGTGTAGGGGAGTTTGTTTTTACCCCTCTTTTATAACCTTGTTTACATCACTATTACCACCAACTTATTTGACACACCCCCTCAGATTCAAAGCTTTCCCCTTTTAATCTTTCTAAAGTTATTCAGCTTGAATCTGATCTATCTCGGAGGCCTGGTTGGTTCACGAATGTGTTAATTTCTGCTTTGGAAGTACTTTGGTAAGGCCATCTGCCAACATCTTGTCTGTAGGCGTGTAGCCAATTTGAATTCTTCCTTAAAGAGCTTCCTGCCTGAGCCAGTGATTATGGATATCAACATGTCGAAGCTTCATCTGCAAGCGATTAATATCTTCATGGACGAGCCGGATCGTTTGACGATTATTACATAGTATTTAAATATGTTGGTGTTAATCTAGTTAAATCTTTAGCTTTTTAAGCAGCCTGCTAATAAACATCCCTTCTTTAGCTGCTTGGGACAGTGCTAGGAGCTCTGCTTTAGTAGTTAAAGTTATTATAGTATCTTGCTTATTTGCCTTCTATCCTATTATTCCTCCAAACAACTGCATTATATACCCCTGTAAGTAGAGTTGCACGGAGGAACCGCAAAAACCGCCGCCGAATCCGCACCGCCCACAGCGGTGCGGATTCGGTCCCTAAAGGGAGAATCCTCATGCGGTTGCGGTTTCTAAAGGCAGGAACCGCAGAATCCGCGGGGATCCGAACGGATTCTGAGGTGCGGTTTCAACCGAATCCGCAAATCCGAAAAATCCGATACATAGTATTACTGTTTAAATAACGCACATTACAATTTTAAAAATTTGTTGTGTTGCAAGACTATTACTTTAAAGGTTATGATATTAATCTAACCATGGTTAGATTGGCCACAAATACATAAATAATAATTTACCATTTGAAAATAAGTATATTTATCTATATAAGGTCTACTTTCCATTATTAAGAGCTAAAATACCAGGGGAGTATACGCTGTTGTCGTCGTGGACAAGAATCATCAGCTGTAGACGATAAGGGTGTTGGGCGTGGTAAGGCTGGAATAGTAGGCAATTCTGGAGAATCCTCATCTGAATCTGCATCGGCTGCTGAAGGATCCTCTTCCTCACTAATATACCAGTCGTTTGGAAAATTATTCTTATTAGAGTCAATCTCTTCAGTAGATGGCTCACTGGAGAGTTCGTCCAAGAAAATCTAAAATTTATAATTAATCATAAATCGATTAGTACACATCTGAGTAATAATAGCTTCAATCGTTTCGGGAGCTAGTCGTCCACGACAATAATGACAGATATCCCGAGCACTACTAAAAAGATTTTCTACGCCAACCCCACTTACAGGTATGGCTAAGAAATCTCTAGCAATGTGTGATAAGATTGGAAAACAAGAAGTATTAGCACGCCAAAAGTCAAGAATATTAAAACCTTGATTATTAGGGTGAACAGCTGTAATCTAACCATGGTTAGTTTACTATTAAAATTTAAGGGTAGGAAACATACGCTTATTAAGATAGGTAAATAATTTATTCTAAGAGGGTTGGTCGGCAGTAGAGGGAGATGATCGACGTTTACGAGAGTAAAAAAAGGCCTTTTCAAGACCATCTAATGGAGTAGATGATGGATCGGAGGGTGTTATTGAAGGATATTTGGTCTAATAATATAAAAAGATTTTTCGTAGAGTGTGCTGATACTCTTGCACCCAATTTTACTCCCCCCCAGACCACGAACCCTCATTAAATAATGATAATTTATAACGAGGGTTAAGAATGGATGCGATTGCATAGATCATGCTATAAGAGCCATAAGTCTTTTTATAATATTCGCGTAGCTTCTTATGGGCAGCCTCTAATCCCGAGTAAAGATATCTCTTCTATCGTCGATGTTTATTGCGTAATAGTGACATCGAGTCCTTAATATAATTAAATAGCTGGTTATAGACATTGAGAACGAGATGAATGGTAGCTCCTCGATGTTCTAATAAACAGGTTGTATATATCCAGAATTCCTGAAGAAGATAAATAAGATACTTAATATGTCGCCATTCATGCATTCTAAGAGCCAGTAAAGAAATAACTTCTGACGACTTAAGTTGAATAAAGCGATTAATAAAGACTCTTAACTTATAGGCACGACGTAACATAAGAAACGTTAAATTTTATTAAGTATTACAGTTAAGGAGAAGTAGAAGAGTCTTACCCGCTCCTACTTTAATTTCTTGAAGCTTGCGAAATCGTTCACGTCGTTGAGGGCTTGCATTAATATATCGAGATATCCGCCGAATCTAAGATTAATATTAGCGTAGATCTTTAATCTAACCATGGTTAGATTACTATACCTTCTCTAATGTTTTAAGCAAGCCAGATTTATTAATTATAGAGTTATTATCATCCCAAGAATTGGACACTTCGTCATTCTTAGGTTGAATCTTAAGCTTCTGCAAAAATGCATGAACTGATAATTGGATAACATAAGCAAGACAAGGAAAATAATATTAAGATTCAAGAAGTTAATAGAACTTAGGATCAATGGTATAATCTCGAAAAAATGTGTCTGTATTAAGTGTCTCCGCTAACTCCTGAGTAAGAAATAAAAACATTGTTTTATTATTACTAGCATTATTAGTCATAATGCCTAGAATTCGATGAGCGAGATTATATTTCTATAAAATATTTAGTATAATAGCTGAAAGATTCACTCCACTATGTTCTCCCGGAATAGGTGGAAACCCAAGAAGAATCTCATGATATCGAAAGTCTGCTGAGATAAAGTAACCAGTAATAGCCATAAAAGGTTTCTGATCAGGACTAGTCCAACAGTCTAAGGCGATTGAGATCTTTCCTTCCGAAGGTAGTAAAGATAGTAATTCTTGATGTGAATAAAAAGAGAGGATTATTAAATGTTCTTTAAGGCTATTTCGATTTGGAAGGGTAATCGAAGATAATCCTAGAATTATCTTTATCATTCGTTTAAACTGAACATGTTCAACAGTGCGAAAAGGGAGTCGGCACGCAATAATAAATTAAAGTATTTAATCACGAAATTAGGCAGGGTCATATTCATTAACCTAGAATAATAAACATGATAAGCAATCTAACCATGGTTAGATTATAAAAAGGGCCATCTATACCTTTCCTTTCTCTATAAAATCCTTTATTAAACACTTCACACCTTTTTTGCCACTAAGTGCATATCCACATCTTTTACTATTTGGATGATTCTTCATGGTGGTTGTTCCTTTTCTATCAAAGCTTGGATGTGCTAATAACGTTTTGCAATACTTGCATCGGATTCGAGGTTCTCTATTAGATGCCAATGCAACCTCATCAAAGCAATCCCACGCACTCGACTGCTTATTTCCTGCCCAGTTACCTCGTCCTTGATACCTCTTCCCCCCCTTAGTAGAGATCCACCACTTATCAAATATATCACGAAGTAAAGTAAATGAGTGACTGGCAGTTGCATCGGTAGGAACAGGTAATTTAACTGTTTTTTGTTGACCATTGGGGCGAGTGAGGACCTGTAGCTCCGAGGGAATTAAATCCTCGGCGGAGGTTAAACGTTGATCTATACTATTCGAGACTAAAGAAGAGCGATGAAGAAGCGATGTTGGTCCTGGAGAATTATTATTATCCAAGCTAATTGGATCTGATGGTAAAATAAAAGACATCGTAGATAAAATTTATTAAAAGACCACAACAGACCTTGAATTAGTATGGAAAAAATTCTCAAGTTTATAAAAAAAAGGAAGAGGATTATAAAAAGACTTTGTTAATTCTCTGTGAGTTAGAACTAAAAAAAAACTATTACAAAACTACAAATCTAACCATGGCTAGATTTAATAATCTATCTCCACTATTCTCTATTATTCTCGCTTTCTTTGGTATTTTCGGCACTGTTTATTGCACCCTAATCACCATTATCCTGTGTCACGCCACCCTCTCCAGTATCCTATTAACTATCTATTTCTTTACAAACTTCTTCATCCTTCGAAGTCTCCTCGCTATTATCTTCTTTATATCTTATCCACTGGGGATCAAAGGGACCCGCAACCTGGAATTCGGCAAAAATACCCATATACTCAGTATACTGAGCTTTATTAGGTCGATATTTTCCCTCTTTAAGAATTCTCTGACCCAGTTCTGTGAGCTTGTTCTTGAATTCAGCTATTTAATTAGGAGTAAGAAATGTGCCATCCTTCCGTCGCAATTTGTTGGGGATATAAAAGGGTTCGACTACAATATATTAGTCAGATAATCCAACCATAGTTAAAGTAAGACCCACCATCCTTATTAGTAGGCTCATTTCTCTTTCTCTTACGCAGATTGGTAGGCTTGCGCAAGGTATTCTTTGCTATACTCTTAGAGAGGGCTTTAATCTGTGCAAACATCTAATCCTCTTTAGAAACGTATAGAGGAGGCTCTGCACTTAAAAATCCAGCTTTATAAGGCTTGTTCTCAGCCACTGGAACATCACATTTCAGTGTAAACTTAGACAAGTCCTTATTCCAATTATCAACATCAATTGGCCATCTATTATTCTGCAAGACCAATGCACATTCTTTAAGCTGTAGTTTCGCCTTGTGGTAGTCTTGCTATACAGTAGTTAATTTAACCATGGTTAGTTAGATTAAAGTAAAATAGAGACCCACCTTATTATAAATCAGAAAGCGGATCTTCTCCCCACCCTTTTTACCAGGGCCAACGTAAAACAGTCCCCATTCTAACGTAAGTAACATAATAGACTTTAACTCGCGGTACTGGAACAAAGCGCCAAAGATACTCGCCTCACTGCGTAAGTGATCCTTTGTGTTAGTATTTCAAAGGGCGGGACATTTATGCAGATACTGATTATCTGCAAAGTTCGCATTGCAAGTGATTTCTCTCCATGGGAGATAAGGGGTGTACATTGCGTGCTATAAAAATTATTAGCTCCTTAACCAATCTAACCATGGTTAGATTTAACTGACCAATGTCTCAGGATTATTAAATTTTGCTATAGCCCCCTTAAGAACTTCACCTGCTGCGTTAGTTAACACAGTGACAATACGCGCCCAGTGCTGTTTTCTGAATCGTTCAAGATATATATTAATGTTCTCGTCATGCTCATCTTTACCACGGATTAAGTTAAATCCAGTAGTAAGACAGGGAGGGACTTCTAACTAGATAGTATGTTAGTTGACTATTTTAATTATTATTATAATTAAAATCTTACTAAGTTTTGAGCGGCCTGATCCTGCCAGAGTAACTCGGTTATCACCTCTTCCTATAACACTTTTAAGAAAACGTCGGTTTTCTTATCCGCTTCTTCTAAATCTGTAGAATGTTTCATAAACACTTTATCTAACAATGTTCTTTTCCAAGAGAAATCTTTGAGAGTATTGGAGGCTTGCGCTGGATACTTCTATTCAGGGTCGACCCACACCATAATATGACGTAACAACGATTTAACCTTTAAGCCTACCTTTTTTTCCAAGAGATACCACTCATGCCTACGGATATAGTTAGTATCTTAATCTAACCATGGTTAGATTATAATACTTACCAAGTGGGGATAGGGAGATCCCTATTCTCGCGGAGACTCGTATAAACAAAAATATACTCCGTGTTATTTAACTCTTCAAGAAACTCAGGGCGCCGATTCTTAAATGTTGATTCCGAATTTCCGCTACTAGCAATCTGAATTGGCTTGAGTAACTTTGGAAGTTCTCTCACCTTCTCATACTCGGGGGGTAATGGATATTGTGTTTTTCGTTTCTTTCCATTAACCCAGTAGTCATTTCGCTCAGGGAAGAAAAGAATGCGTAGAATAAGATCAGGGTAGCCACGAGGCAGGTTAATAATCTTTTTCCAATCATCGTAGGAGACATTTATCACAGTGTTATCAAAGATGCGCTGGCAGAACTTAAAAAATCTCTCAAACTCGCCCAACCAAATCTAACCATGGTTAAATTATATGCGAAATAATGGTGTGGTGGAGCACTTACCTAATCCAGCTTTGATGTAACTATTTTATTAGCAAGGGACCAAGAGAACATATTTTCTCTATATCTAGTGGAGCAGTACCGAAAAACCATCTTCCGAAAATCATCGTGACGGAGAACAGCGTGAATCCGTGCAACATATTTAAGCTAAACACCAAAAACATTGTTTAACCATTGCGCTAAGGCACCCTTCGCTAGAACTTGCTGCTGTTCATCTGTGGGTAGTTGATCAAAACTGTGAATAATCTAAAATAAATTGAATCCTTCTGAATTCGTCTTACGCACAACACTTTTGTTGGCACACAAACTTTGAAGAAGATCGAGATTCAGAGCCCCTTGCTCATAGACATTAATAGCCCATTGATAATCCTGCACTTTAATTAGCGTAGCAATTTACCAATGGCTAGACTAATTTACTGAATCCTTGGGGGCACGAATTGGCCTATTATTAAGATCCTTCACTCCAAAGGCGGCGTTCTTGGCCTGCTCCTCAAGCAATCCTATGAGGGCCTGTACTCGATGTTGCCTGTTTCTTAGAACAATTGTGTTAACATCCGAGGGCCACTTGCATATCTCAATTAGTTGGTTCTATATAATTGTCAATATTACTTTAATCTAGCTATGGTTGGATTCACTTACCCGCTTGTTTCCGCGATAATAAGTTTGTTTATAAGAGCCTTATTATCAAGATTCGTTTCTTCTAAAAGACGCTAAAAGATCGCTTGAAAAGTTTCCTTATCCTTGATAGTGCCCTTCAGCCGATCCTTATTTAACCATCGACGAATACCAAGCCTAAAGCTATCTTTAAGCTTGTTGATCAGTGATCGATTAATAGATCTATTGTAAATCTCCTCTGGCTATTTAAGGTCAAGTTGGCGCACATCAATAATTAATGTTATTCGATAGGCTTCCTCCAAATTATCAAAAAGGGTGTCGTCGTGAATAGTTTCCACTTTTTCTTTGCTATTCTTGGAGGGGGTAGGGGGCTTCTTGGGCGCTAGCCTTGCAGCTTTAGGTGGCATGTTGAAAACGTACTCTCAATCTAACCGTGGTTAGATTGGACATCAATATTCTTTGCAGTGCTTGATAATGGGGCCCCTGAAAGGGGCAAGAATACAGATGTGGGAAAATTTCTCGACAGTCGTGGGATTTTAAAAAACGAGTCTTTTTTGAAAAACATGAATAAAGAGAAAGGATAGTTTAATCTGGCTATGGTTGGATTGGGGGCACTTTATATAGCCAGGATTTAGCTGGAGAATTCCGCTTAATTCTTGTGCTTCGAATCATACTAAATTGTATAGTATTTATCAATAGTGAATACTTCTCCTAGTGAATTGATTATATATGATGTTGTTGTCGATATTGTTAAATAGTTAACTACTGTGATTGGCTGGATGGGATTATATAATATTATCTACCCGTATTAGTTAATCACAATTGACACATCTTTTATACCCATTGCAATCGACCGAATGGGACAGTACTTCAATTACTATAAGAGATATGTGAATGTATCCAGCTTAATCTAATCTAACCATAGCTAGATTAAATAGTTATATAGCTTATTTTTTCTCCTCAAGTGCTTTTTCTTCTTAGATAAGCAATTTCTTACGATGTCCACGAATATTTGGAGCTACCGTCACAGATATATATATATATATAGTGTATTTTTGCCTGTAATACGCTGAATTCCTTTTTCTCTCCAACCACGTAGAAAATTGCTAATTTTTGTAGCTTAGACTATTTATCTACGGCTCTTATTCTATAGATTTGTTAATTCAAAGTTATTTATTATATAAAATATGATGATTTTCAGCTCAATTTATGATTACTAAGGATATGGTTCTGCGGATGCGGTGCGGATTGTACCAACCGCACCGAATCTAACCATGGTTGGATTAGTATAATTTGTAAGCTCGCTAAGCTTACCGTATGTAGTAAAGCTGCGGATTCCCCACTATAAACCGCACCGAATCCGCACCAAACCGCAGCGGTTGCGGATTCTGTATATTGGAACCGCAATCCGCAGCGGGCGGTCGCTGACCCCCCTCCGGCCGCCCGAATCCGCACCGAATGCAACTCTACTAATAACTTTCCAACTGCTTATTAACCACTTTTAAAGTACTTGATTATTAGCTTCCTGATAGAATTAAAGTCCCCCACCGATTAGATTAGCTATTACCAGGATTACCCACGTATCCCGATGGCTTATTATGCCGGCGTGAGATGGTCCCAATATCCCCGTGGTGGTCGGGTAAGCCGTGAACAACGGGTGTAGGCAGAGGCTGAGCTGCAGTAATTATATATATCTGTGACATGCCAGTAGATATTCCCATCGCGCAAAGGATCGCATTATATTCACATCCGCAATCCAAATAAGAACGACGAACCGGCGATCCCAACAGATAATATTCAGGTTGCTGTCCAGGAGCTAAAGAATGCGTGGAAGAAGGCGCAGTCCACGCAGAGTACAATTCAGGTATCCAATATTACCGACGCCAACCCATGGCTGCGCATGACCCGGTAGTCCGAGTATTTAGAAGGAATCGCACCAAAGGATCTGGCCGACAGCGTGGCGCCGCCCGAGGAAGAGCCCACGGATCCCGTGGAGCAGGGCGTGCGCCACATTTGGGCCGCCATGGAGCAGGTTGTGCGCAAGAGCCAGCGCGTGGTCCAGCACAGCGGCCAGGCAATCTGCGTTGAAGCGATCCGATCCGAAAAGGGTCAAACGCCATATCGACCGTTGCAGGTGTATATAGATACCGAGAGCGTGGTTAAGCATATGCAGCCATGGCAGCAAATATTAGTGTTTATCGCGCGTACCCAGGCGCCACACGCATGGACGAGTCCCCGTACGGCATGACAGCACGGCAGCGCAAGAAATGGCGGCAGTTATGGCACCTCGCCACTACCCACCGGGATATTCCCGGCGAGCCGCAGGACAACGCAGCGTGGCGCATGACCCCGATCGAAGGCGCGTGTTTGGAGTTCTGCATCGAGTTGCTAAACCAAAAGCAGCGTAGCCATGAGTACGAGAGCGTGCTTGTATGTGCCATGGCCGTGTTGGGATAGGGCCGGGACCGATGGCAGGGCCCGGAGAGTTATCCCCGATCTTATCGCGCGTGATCAAGGTGGCGCGCTTTATAATCGTCCAGAAAGCGCTTTGGTTGGATCCGAATCCCGAGGAGATTATCGCGGTGTGGCAGAAGAAGAGTAACTGCGTGCAGTGGGTGCTTGCCAGCGCCGACGACAAGCTGGAGGATATTTTATTCGGACGAGGGATATTACAGTTAACAGGAGGATCCCATCGTTGCCCCCACATCGCCCATTACCAGCAGTAATCCCCAACCGATAGTGAATATCCGCCGGCAGAATCGCGGGAAAACATTCCAGGAGCACGTGGAGTGGATGGTGCAGCGGTTTATAGTGCGTGGCACCCATAGCCTGATATAAACATTGCAGGATTGGCGCACGTACGGGCTAAAGATCTATTATAATACCACAGCACCCGGGCACATTACATGGAACCATGGCGACAAGCTCGGATACAAGCATATTACATTTACCATGGGCGATTTCCGCGGATTTGTCCATGGATTGGTCGGGGCCACACGCCAGATATTGTGCGACATACTGTGCGTGACAGCGCGGGAGGATATTCCTAGTATTCCATGGCACGCGATCTACGACGACCCCACGCAGGCCACGGTTGGATAGAATTTTTGCGGGATCAGCGCACGCAATGGCCGGTGGGGCCCATGTGGATGATCGGCCGGTTGCGGGCCGAGCCGGCCATGCAGAAGAAGTTTACTATCCGGCGCCAAGCCCGACGGCTGCACATGCCGAAGGTGGCGCAGTATCTGGAGCGCGTGGCGCGATTTAAGGAGAAATTAGCAGTAATTGTTTATGTGGTATCCGGCCAGCCGGCTCGCGCACCCGAGTTATTAAGTATTCAACATGTGAATACCGTGGCGAATCGACAGCGCAATATCTATATCGAGGACGGGATAGTGGCGTTGGTGACAGCGTACCACAAGGGGTTTTACGCGAGTAACGATATAAAGATTATTCATCGATTTGTGCCACGGGAGGTGGGTGAATTAATTGTGTGGTATTTATGGTTAGTATTGCCATTTGTGCAGCAACTAAGCGCATGGCATGCGAAGGAGATGCAGGGCACCGCAGCGCAGAGCACCACAGCGCAGGGCATGGACGCAACGCAGGGCACCACCACAGCGCAAAGCACCACCACGGCGCAGGGCACCACAGCGCAGGGCACGCACGCAACGCAGGGCACCACCACGGTGCAAAGCACCACCACGGCGCAGGGCACCATGGCGCAGGGCACGCACGCAACGCAGGGCACCACGGCGCAGGGCACGCACGCAGCGCACGGCATGCTGGGGAATACATGCAGCACTGGGGCACCACCACAGCGCAAAGCTCCACCACAGCGCGCAAAGCACCACGGCGCATGCCACACACGCAACGCAGGGCACCACGGCGCAGGGCACGCACGCAGCGCACGGCATGCAGGGAATACATGCAACGCAGAGCACCACGGCGCATGGCACGCACGCAACGCAGGGCACCGCCACGGCGCAAAAGCACCACCACGGCGCAGAGCACCACGGCGCATGGCACGCACGCAACGCAGGGCACCGCCACGGCGCAAAGCACCACCACGGCGCAGGGCACCACAGCGCAGGGCACGAACGCAACGCAGGGCACCAACACAGTGCAAAGCACCACCACGGCGCAGGGCACCACAGCGCAGGGCACGCACGCAGCGCAGGGCATGCAGGGAATACATGCAGCACAGGGCACTACCACAGCGCAAAGCACCACGGCGCATGCCACACACGCAACGCAGGGCACCACGGCGCAGGGCACGCACGCAGCGCAGATCCGCGAGGATGCGTTTTTATGGGGACCCGACCCCGGTACCCGGCGCAAATGGACCTCCGAGCGGTTCCGGGAGGTGTTAAAGCGCGAAACCAAGACCCGGTTAAAGCAGGCTATTAATATCCAGTGGTATCGCGATATCGCCATTGGGATTAGCCGACGATTTTTGCGAGCCACCGCCGCGTTTGCCAGCAACATGCAGGAGGAGAGAGACTTGGCACAGGCCGTGCTAAACGCCGACACCGAGGAGGGTATGGACGAGGAGCAGTGGTTAGGCCATATTACAGACTTGCAGGCGGCGCATTCATCCCAATTGGCGGGTGGAGTGTATGGCCGTGGTATTATAGAGCAGCCCGGGACCACGGCACATCGCCGCGCAATGTTTCGGCTCTCCAGCACCGATTGGCACCGGTTTTGGGGTTTGCATCCGCCGCGGAGCCCAGCCCGTTGGGGAAGCGCAAGAGATCACCATGGGAGGACGAAGCCGAGGAGGGCCGAGTCGTCCGACGTCACCGGCTAAATATCGCAGATATGCGCACCACGTTGCAGCACATGACCGGGCAGGAGGATATCCAGTTCCGGGGCGTCCAGGCACCGGCGTTGCGCGCCATTCAGGACGGCCAGAGCCCGGTCGTCGCCATTATGCGCACCGGAGGGAAAAAGCATGTTGTTTATGTTACCTGCATTCGCCGAGCCCAGTGGTACTACCATTGTGGTCGTGCTATTAATATCATTGCGGAACGATATGGTGCGGCGCTGTCGCGAGTTGGGTATATCCTGCATTGAATGGGATAGTCGACGGCCACCGGACGAAGCGACAATCGTACTGGTCACACCGGAATCCGCGGTGCAGGAGGATTTTCAAACATTTATTAACCGGTTGCAGCAAACACGCCGGTTGGACCGGATCGTGATCGACGAATGCCATGTGATATTAAACAACCAAAGGGATTTCCGACCCGAGTTGCGACAGCTGGGGCGGTTGAACCACGCGCGAACCCAGATGGTGTTATTAACTGCCACGTTGCCGCCGCGGTTGGAGGCGAAGTTATTCCGGCGCATGGAGTATTCCCGCGAGCAAGTCCATATATTTCGGGACCGGACAAGCCGTCCCAACGTGGCGTATCGCGTGTGGCGGCCGGAGCTGGGTCGGCGTTCCATGCAGTGGTTTACCAGCGAGCCGGTGCTCGCGTTTATCCGCGAGCGAATCCTGCTCGCCAAGGATGGCAAGGTGGTGGTATACGGCCATGTGGTCCGTCAGGTAGTGGAGATTGCACGCGAGTTAGCGTGCGAGGCGTACTACAGCAAGCAGGTTAACAAGCCATCTATATTACAGCGATTTACCCGGGGCGAGGCGCGAGTAATTACCGCCACCAGTGCATTGGGCATGGGTGTGGATATCCCCGATATTCGCAGTATTATCCACATTGGAACACCGCGGTCGTTGTTGGAGTACGGGCAGGAAAGTGGGCGAGCCGGACGGGATGGCCAGCGCAGCGAGGCGATTATTATCCAGCCCGAGGGCTGGGACGAGCCCAGCCGGAGACGCCAGAGGCCGTGGCGGATCGCGAGTTGTGGACGAGTACTCGGGGTGGCGCCGGGGTGGGATGTCGACGGTTTGTATTAGACGCGTACATGGACGAAACAGTGAATGGCTATACGCGCCGATACTGTCAGGATATTAATTCCACGGAGGCACTATGTGATGGCTGTGACGCCGATTGGCTCGCGCAGGAGTCGGTTTGCATGTCCCCGGACAGATATTCCCCGGACACCCGCATGGACGATCTCGCCAGCACGACAAGCCCACCACGCGAGATTAGCGCTACGGGCAGTCCCCATTCCCATGGTAGTGGCGAATTATTTCCATTATCGCATATTATACCGCAGAGCACGCAGAATATCGCGCCAAATCCCACACGCCGGTCCCAATCCCATGACAGTACAGAATTATTTAAAACTCAAGTAATATCGCATGTTATACCGCAGAGCACGCAAAATATCGCCCCCAATACCACGGCCAATCCCACGCCCAATCCCACGCCCACTGTTAGTATCGCCAAACGCCAGCGCCAACGGGTGCAAGACCAGCGCCATGCAGCGCCCTGTATTCAATGCCAGGTGCAAGATGCACGGCAGTGGTTGGACAAAGGAAACCATTGAACACGAGATAGCACCATGGCAGAAAAAGTGCTATATCTGCACCATTGCAGGACGGGAACGAACGAACACGAGTTATACTTTTGCCGTGGGCCCAAAAGCGATAAAGCCAAGGCATGGGTTAATCTAGTTGCCAGCACAAGATTCATTCGCCAGATATACCGCTTGTTACCGCTGTTATCTGCCACAGACAATCTGTCGACGATGGGAGTTATTAGATGGCCATCCAACACAAACTGACTGTGTATATAAGGATATATTGGTCCCCATGATGGCTGTAATACTGTACGCCCGTGGGAGGAGCAGATCCAGCCACTATGGCAGCGCCGGTTGCAGCAGACGGGGTGGACGCAAGCAACACCACGCAAGTTTGCAGTTTTTGGGGCAGGCCGCGGAGGGAGCCAAAGGCCAGCACAGCCAGTTATTCGCATTATTTTGCTGGCTATGGCAGATCTGCAAAGAATTGGAGGGGATCCACGGGGTTTGTGGTATAACTAGTTAGTATACAGTGTAGCAAGAACAGTAATATATTTAGAATTTTATTTAAACTAATAAGGTATATAATATAGGAGCACATGCAGAGCATATATAATATAAGGATATAAACAGCAGTGGACACACGCACTAGGCTGAGGTATATACCAGGGAACCAAGAGAAGGTACGCACCGGGGGAAGAACGCACTGGGGGGGATAAATGTACCAGGAAAGGATATATACCGGGGGGAGGTACGCACTGGGAGAAGGCACACACCGGGACGCACCGGGGGGAGATACACACCGAGGGGAGGTACGCACCGAGGGAAGGTACGCACCGAGGGGAGGTACGCACCGGGGGGAGATACAAACACAAGGGGGAGGTACGCACCGGGGGAAGGCATGTACTAGGGGAAGGTATACACTAGTAGACACACGCACCGGGGTAAAGTATGCACCGGGGTGAAATATGCACCGGCGGGAGGTACGCACTAGGGGAAAAACGCACCGGGGGAGGACACACCGGGGAAAGGCATGTACCAGGGTAAACACGCACTGGGGTAAACACGCACCAGGGGAGGCATGTACCAGGGGGAGGTACGCACTGGGGTAAACACGCACCAGGGGAGGCATGTACCAGGGGGAGGTACGCACTGGGGTAAACACGCACCGGGGTAAACACGCACCGGGGGAGGCATGTACCAGGGAGAGGTACGCACCAGGGCAAACACGCACCGGGGCAAAGACGCACCGGGGCAAAGACGCACCGGGGTAAACATGTACCGGGCAACGCATATATTAAAGTGAATAAACGCTAACTATATATACCAGGGAATATACAGGGGCAGTGTTTTAAGTATATGCAGAGTATATGTAGCAAGGAAATACATATACCAGGGGGTAATACACACCCGGGAGAGGCACACACCGGGGGAGGTATACACCGGGGGAGGTATACACCGGGGGAGGTATACACCGGGGGAGGTATACACCGGGGGAGGTATACACCGGGGAGGTATACACCGGGGAGGTATACACCGGGGGAGGTATACACCGGGGGAGGTATACACCGGGGAGGTATACACCGGGGGAGGTATACACAAGGGGGAGCCACGTGCCGGGGGGACATACATACCAGGGGAGGTACGCACCGGGGAGGCATATACCAGGGCGAGGTATATACCCGGGGGAGGCATTTACCAGGGGACACACACACCAGGGGGAGGTACACACTGGGGGAGGCATATACCAGGGGAAGGTATACACCGGGGAAGGCACACACGCACCGGGGGAGGTACGCACCGGGGAAGGCACGTACCGGGGTAAACACGCACCGGGGGAGGCATGTACCAGGGGAAGGTACACACCAGGGCAAACACGCACCGGGGTAAACACGCACCGGGGGAGGCATGTACCAGGGGAAACATATACCAGGGGAAGCTTATATTAAAGTAAACAAACACAAAGTATATATACTAGGGGATATACACAGGCAGTGTTTTAAGCATACGCAGAGTATATATAGCAAGAAAATACACACACCGGGGGGTAATACACACCCGGGAGAGGCACACACCGGAGGAGGTATACACCGGGGGAGGCATACACCAGGGGGAGCCACGTGCCGGGGAGAGATACACACCAGAGGGAGGTACGCACCGGGGGGAGGCGAATACCAGGGCAAGGCATATACCCGGGGGAGGTACGCACCGGGGTAAACACGCACCGGGGTGAACACGCACCGGGGTAAACATGCACTGGGGTAAACACGCACCGGGCAAACATATACCAGGGGAAGCTTATATTAAAGTAAACAAACACAAAGTATATATACTAGGGGATATACACAGGCAGTGTTTTAAGCATATGCAGAGTATAAGTACCAAGGGAAATATACAGCAGGGGGAGGTATATACCAGGAGACACATGCACCGGGGTAAAGTATACACCAGCGCGAAGTACACACTGGGGGCAGGCATGCACCGGGGGAGGTACGCACCGGGGGAGGTATATAGTATAAAAAGGGTGCGTAGTATAATAAGTATATATAAAATATATATACTAGGGGATATATATAGTATAGTAGGTATATATAAAGTATATTATTAAAGGGAGGCATATACTAGATAGAGATATATACTAAGGGGAGATATATATTAGTAATTATATACTGGTAAACAAACACACCAGGTTAAACACGTACCGGGGGGAGGTATATAGTATAAAAAGGGTGCGTAGTATAATAAGTATATATAAAGTATATATACTAGGGGATTTATATAGCACAGTAAGTATATACAGGCTATATTTACTAAAGGGAGGTACACATACGAGGGGGAGGTACGCACCGGGGGAAGGCATGTACTAGGGGAAAATACACACTAGTAAACACATGCACCGGGGTAAAATATGTACCAGGGTAAAGTATGCACCGGGGTGAAGTTTGCACCAGGGTAAAGTTTAACGGGGTAAAGTATACACCGCGGAGGTATACACTGGGGGGAATATATTAAAAAAAGGACACACTGGGGGGATATATATACCGGGAAAAAATACATACCAGGGGGAGATACACACCGGGGGAAGGCACGCACCGGGGGGAGATATGCACCGGGAAGAGATATATACAGGAAAGGCATGTACCAAGGGGAGGTACGCACTAGGGGAAGGCATATATTATAAAAAGGCATGGACTAGGGGAAGGCATATAGTAGTTAATATATATACTAGGGGGGAAATATATACCAAGGAGAGGTATACACCAGTGGGAGGTACGCACCTGGGGGAGGCATATACCGGGGGGAGGTACGCACCGGGGAAAGCACGTACCGGGGTAAACACGTACCGGGGTAAACACGTACCGGGGTAAACACGCACCGGGGTAAACACGCACCGGGGAGGCATGTACTAGGGGAGGTACGCACCGGGGCAAAGACACACCGGGGTAAAACGCACCAGGGCAAACACGCACTGGGGTAAACACGTACCGGGGTAAAAACACACACCGGGGTAAACACGCACCGGGGCAAACATATACCAGGGGACGCATATATTAAAAGTAAACAAACACAAAGTATATATACTAGGGGATATACACAGGCAGTGTTTTAAGCATATGCAGAGTATAAGTAGCAAGGGAATATATACACCGGGGGAGGTATATACCGGAGGAGGTATATATTAGGGTACCAAGGGAAATATACACTGGGGTGAGGTATGTACCAGGAGGAGGCAAGTACTAGGAAAAGGTATATCCCGGGAGAAGGCATGTACTAGGGGAGATATATACTAGGGTATACACGTGCCCGGGGGGAGATATGTATTAAAGGCAGGCATATATTATAAAAGGTATATATTAAAGGGATACATACACTAGTGGACACACGCGCCAGGGGAAATACGCACCAGGGGAGGCATGTACCAGAGGGAGGTACGCACTGTGGTAAAATATATACCAGTATAAGATATACACCGGGGAGAGATACGCACTAGGGGAAATGTATATAGATAGTCCCTACACTCTACGGGCCTTTGCCCGCGGAATACGGCGGCCCGCAGAGGTCCGGTTGCGCACTTCCCCGGACACTCCACGTACGCTGTGTGTCGCTGACGTAAGACCCGTCCCCATACAGTCCCCGTAGACTGTCGACCCGCCCCACCCCGTACAATCCCCGTCGACCGTCCAATGCCGAACGGAGCCCGTCCCGACACCACCAACACCGGCTCCCGTCCCATCGTCCGCCAACAGGAGTTCCCGAGCCGTCCCGATACCACCCACCCCGGGTCCCATCGTCGGTCGATAATGTTTTCGATCCGGATCGTTGATTCGGTAACATTTTCGCCCCGGTTTCCGATTATCTCTTATAACTCCGGTTACCGACCACTCAGCACTGCAACCCGATCGCGACTGCGCCCAACCATTCCGGTATGTACGCAGCGATACTGAATAAGAGGGCAATGGTAGAACTCCGAAGGAGTAGGTCAAGGAGACACTCTGAGACAGCTCAGCCTGGCAGGAGAGAAGACAACATTCCCCTTACGCAGGTGCGCTCCGTGGTTTGTAAGAAGGTTGTTGATTGTTTATTCCCTCTTCGAACGAGGACTTAAGATAACCGTTATCCATACAAATGCCACATGCCAGTCCCTCTAGTTCCTCCACCAGGGTGGTTTTAACAAGTCGATACAAATCGACACAATTCAACAAATTGCAACAACACCATGTTGATTTATATCGATTAGTTATTATTGTATTGAATTCTTCTGCTAATTAATGTTGATACCGTATTGGGATTTTTATGGTCGTTAGAGACTCTAATTACGTGGTGTAATTTTTCGTTTTTGTTGAAAACCACCCTGTCCTCCACTATAATACAAACAGGGATTGTTTGGGCACATATATGACGCCCGATCCCGGGATGCTCCCCGACTAAGGTGCCGGCGCAGAACAGGCCCATGCCATGGAGAGTAAGTCAAAAGAGCGCTCTTGGAGTGGCCCGTCTCAGCCCTGCACGGATAAGTTACTTTTTCAGCAATCTAGCGCTGGAGTATTGCGCTGATTTGCTGGACAGATGTTCTGCACTTACTGCATTGTCTTTTATTCAGTGCTACGACATCTCCTATCCAGAACACAACACAACACAGTGAAGGATTGGATGGGGACGAAGATATATAACACCTATTACCATGCAGTTAGACGGCTCCATTTAGTCCCTCGCGTTCAATGCAAGCCATTCACTACGGAGAAACTTGGTTACCATATTAACTCGTCAGTGCTTTATCTCCTCTTAAGTATATATACTCGATAGGCCTTGCTTTTACTTCAAGTTATCGTTTGTGTCGATTTGTCTATCTTTGCGTTTTGGACCCGTGTGGTCATTGCCTGCTTGTAGTCCGCCTGAGTCCTGTGGAGACGATGCTCTGGAATCATCAATCAGATCCTCGGTAGCTCTCCGTTGTAAGTCAATGTCGAGATATACTGCAGAATCTAAAGGATCTGTTACACACGATCCTTAGGCTAGCTGATGTCGTAGCGAAAGACCCTTGACTGGCTTGTTAGTATACTTTCGGTTCTTCAATCCAATATATATATATATAACGAACCAACATGAGAGCCTTCAGCCGGCTTGGCGTCGGGCATCCAGTCATCGAACCCCTACATATATATATATAACAAACCAGCCGACCAATGCGACCGTATGGTACACAGAGGTTCAACTTTGCCTCCAATCCACAATCTCAAGACTGGCGAAAATCCACTGCGCCGAGTAAGACATTCCCTACTCCTGTACAGTTCCGAACCGCATCTTCTTCTCAAACCCCTTTCCAGCAGCAACTCGGAAAATGTGATCTGTCCATTATTTTCCCCACAGACGAAATCTTGAGACCAACCCCTGAAATTCTGCCCCTGAGATTCGATCCCAAACAAAAAAAAAAAAAAAAACTCCCACCTGCCTGTTCCTTACAGTCTACATTTAATGTAAGGAGAATATAACACCGTCTTTATTTCTTTTACTCACTGCTGTTCGGATATTATGGCAACTCGCAGGACTTCCGTGGCCTTTCCCGACGGGTCTCAACCACCGCCTTTGTTGACCTACCTGAAGGAATATAATTGTATAGTGTGTATTGGGTGCAAAATTGCTATAACCGGACAGCTAAAAGAGCGTCATCTTTCCGATGTCCATCAGCTACGGACTATTGCGGATCGAGCGCGACACCTGCGTCAGATCCCTCGCGACGTTACCCCCGATCCAGCCATGATGAATTCTCGCCTCTTCCAAACAGCTCCTCCCGGATTCCAGAGCTCGAGCTTCACGATCTGTGGGAATGCAGTCACTGCGGGCATCTTACCCGGTCTCAGCGGATAAGTAAAAGACACCAGGTTGCTGCTGCACATCGTGCTGACGGCCTTCCGTGGGCGCCTCGCCGCGTGCAAGGCCAATCCTGGTTCCAATCCAGCCGATACCTGCGCTTCTGGACCACCGCGCCCGTGGACCATGGTCGACCAGCCAGCATGCCAGTGGAAACCACGGAAGATCCGCCCTCCTCCTCGGCTGCTGACACAATACTAATAGGCGAGCCGGAGATCGCTCCATCCCAACTTGATCCGGTCACAGGTACGTCTCTCGTTTCTCCTGGTCCGGCCCACCGCTAACCACGCTCACGTTCGTCTGCGAAGAGGACAACCGGAGAATCAAACCCAACGAACTACCGGTCCGACCGCTGCGACCCCTGGCCCCGAAGCCCGTAGACGCGGAGCCAATAGAACGACCGACCACACCATTGCAAACCCCACCCCTGACTGGCAACCACACGGCCCGATGGATCCGGGAAATTCAGCACCTAGAGGCTCGTGGGATCCACCGACAGCACCCTGCGCAAGAGGCCCGTCCGGATCCTCGGCTCTTTGTTTTTCAGGCCCGTCATATGGAGGACGATGTCACACCATGGCTGCTGCAGACCGACTGGCTTCGATTCCTGGATGGCCGTTATCTTCGGGTGTTGGCCGAAGCGTCCGCGCCAGACCCTGGCCGGCTGCAGAGCCATCCAGGTCTGCAATCTTTCTGGCCAGGAGCGCTATGGGACGATAAGGAGTTAGTCCCAGATGAGCCCGCAGGGAGCATCCAGCAGATGTCGGTCAACATTTTAGACCTGGTTATTGCATCGTTTGACCGGGTCCTTAACCGAGCCCTGGACAGCTTAGCGTCCACCCATCCGCCAATCCGTCGTCTATTCCGCAGCTCATCGCAGACCGGTTTGAGTGCGGTGGAACTCGACCGGCAGCAGCCAAAGACGCTCCAACGCTATCGCCGCGTATGGCGGCGGTATCTGGCCTGGATGGTACGCGGAGCCCCTCTGACTGACCAAGAGCGCACGGAGATCCTCGGCCTCCGGTTGGACAAGTATGAGCGGGAGCATCTCACCCGGATCTGGGACACCCTCCAGGCATACCTGGCTCATCCGGAAGAAACCCTCGCAGCGGGCCACTTCCTTCAACGAATGGAGCAAACTGATGCTCGGCGGCAGGCAGTTAAGCGCGCCTATGATCGGAGTAACCTGGGTGAACTCGCTGCAATATCGAGTCCTGTTCCCACACCTCAGACTACATCATCTACCACCACTGCCAACTCCCGGGCGGGTACCGCTGCCGTGCGCAAACGGCCGCGGCGAGAGAGCGTGACCCCGACACCATTGCCACCACCAATGCGCCGTGGCCATCGCCGTACAGCCTCCCAAGCTCGATTGTTAACTCCGACGAAGGCCTCCGGCACTCGACTCCGCGATCCTCGTGTAGGCGGCAGTGTGTCTACCGGTGAGAACTCACCGGTCCCCTCACCGCGACGTGTTGAAAGAATGGTTGCAGTGTGTATCCCTATAACTCCACCCTTGTGTCATCTCCAGACGCTCAATCCTCTCAAACCAGGTAGGTAATAACTATCCCGGGTCTTTTCACTGCTGGGCGAGAACCCACTGCCACTTGGTCCTGCCAGGCTCCTACGTGAATACTTATGTGCTATACAGACGGACCCTACGACGTAGAGTCGAATTATCCCCAGACAATAAACAACCACGCAACCACTTATCTCGGTCTCCCTCTATATCTAGTGAAGAGAGTGAATCGCATTCGACCAAGAGTGGCTATGTGGACAATAACGTGGATATAGATACCGCCTCAGAACCTGGTAAGATAAGATTTCTATCCCCTACCACCTATTTCCATTTGCGGACTTACTGACTGGGCAGCGTGGTTAGGGAGCCCGGGGCACATCCCCGGCGAGATAAGCGACACCGATTTGACATCGAGTGATTGGTCTGATGAGGAGGAAGAAGACTTCCTGACCAGTACAGAATCGCCGATCCCGTCTATGGGTGACGGCGCCGACCTAGATCGACGAGCCGGAGGGGCGTGCCTCAGCTTCCACCGGAATGTCAGCGGTGGCTGGATGAGATGGTCTTTTCGCTCTGTATAAGCAGCATTAGCACTCGTGCTATCCAGCAGACTGGCAACAAATTTGACAGCAGTCTAGTTGCACTAACAGCCGTGCTTGCGATTCACCCTGTCCATCTCACTGTGGCCGGTCCATATAGCTACACCAGCGACCTGGCTGCCATCCTCTGGATTTCACGGCTGCTTCTGCTGGAGTATGCACTGCCCGCCAAGCCATACCACTTTATTAATGACGTGCCGGTCCGTGACCAGTATCGGAACCGAGTCCGACGAGCCGCAGCGGTGCACTACACCTTTGGAGTCCGGCATACTTTTTACCCACTGGAGGAGATTTTACGGCTGACCGCCCATGGGATATACCAGATGTATCACGAGGTGCGTCCAGCCTCGATCACCTGGTCTCCGGACCAAGAGACAGTGTACTACCGGCAAAACCCCACTGGCTATACCATGACCAACTTCCGTCACTGGATCCAGCACCTGATCCACACGACCACAGACTTCTTTAACCGGGAGCTCCTGCTGGGCTACGTTGAGGACTTTACGCTAGCGGACTTGGTCGACGTGCCCAGTGAGAGACGGAGTGGCTTCTCCTTTCTTGACGTGGCCCCCACCATGCGCGGCCCACGTGCATCCCTCTCCTCCTGCTCTGCCAGTATCCACCGTCTGGCGTGCGGCCGCTTCGGCAGGTTTCGACACACTGGGATATCCAGGCCATGCGATTGTATGAGAAGAAAGTTCAAGACTTTCTATATAAACTGGCTTTACTGATTCAGGTTACCTGGGGCCAGACCAGTCGTGAGAAGGAGCTACTCACCATTAAATGGCAGAATACCGCGACATCCCAGCGGAATATCTTTCTCAGCAACGGCCAGGTTATGATCGTAACCGAATATCACAAGACCCGCCGCCGGACCGTCCGTACCCACCCCGTTGCTCGATTTCTTCCCTCCGCGGTGGGCCGGCTGCTTGTAACGTATCTAATCCACGTCCGTCCCATGCTGGTGGCGTTTAACAGTCAGCACCCCGGAGTCCCGGGCCCGTCGGGAGGCCAAGCATGATTGCTACTTCTTTGTTATTCCTTCCTCGCCGGTTTCCCCGCCGCCCCGCAAGTTGACACATCTTCTACGCCAGTCGACTCAGCCGTTTTTAACAGTGCCTATCTAACCACCCTAAGTTATCGCCATCTGTCTATCGCCATTGCCAAGAAACATCTCCGCCCCCAGATGACTGGATCTGACCTGCAGTCCGCCGAGACAGTCCTCCATAATATCCTTGCCGCCCAGGCCGGTCATCATTCCCATATCAATAATCAGATCTACGCGGTTGAGGACACGTATCCATTAGGGTCTCCTTCCCAGTCGCCAAGAAGCATTCCAGCGCGCGTCGGCCCAGTGGCACCGGTTTATTCTTTCTCCGGTGACCACTCACCATGTCCAGGAAACCACGACCCCTCGTCATCTGGCAGAGGTTAACTCTGATAACAGTGTGGGATCCAACAAGCAAGAATATGGATTTATTGGCTTTGAGCCCATTCCCCAGCTGAAAGTCATAGTTTGCCGTCGATGTCGGTATGCTGTGCGACCCGATGAAGTAGAGCGCCATCTAAAAAGCAGCATTATCTATCCCATCGGACAGTGACCCCAATTATTCAGGCTATCCGCCAGTTGCCAGATATCGAACAGGATGGCTCAGCAATCCAGGTTCCTCATGTTTTGGATAAGCCGATTCCTATTTTACCATGTCACTCAAACGGCTTACTCTGTCAACGGGCTCCCGACCAGTGTCAGTATATTGGATCAACCATGAACACCATGCGCAACCATTGGAGAACGGCGCACCAATGGTCCCTCTATCCACATGGTGGACGAGTTTCCCAATCTCAGCGGGCTTCGCGAGAAATTGAGCTACAGCAGTCGCTTCAGCGTGTATCCTATCAACACTGTTTCCATCACGGAGGGGATCCCATTATATCCAGATTCGATTTCCCAATGGTCAATAATCTCTCTCTATTTATTTGCAATCAAAGTGTGTTGCCCTATTCCACAGGCCTGGGGCGGATGTTGGTAGAGTCTGGTTAGGGTCGGATAACAGTGGGGCGAGGATCGTGCGCTGATTGGCTAGCAGAATTCTCGTTAACATATAGTCGTTCCAAATTATAAACGTAGGGTAGCTCGACAACCCATAATCCACCATAGCTTAAATTTTTATAGTAGATGCAGGACACCTATAAAAGTAACTTGGCAAAATGGGAGCTTGAAATTCCGTTATATAATACTGTGGTGGTGGTCGATGTTTATTATTCGACTTAATTATTTTGTTGGGGTATCACAGCCGACCGAGCCGTTATTACATAACCACCAAACTTGCCAGGTTGCAGGATTATTTAGGAAAGAGGTAAACACACCCAACTGCAGTTATACGATCGCGTTTAAAATAAACAATTTAATTTCGGCCATGGAGCACCAGATATTCGAGAAGCTTGATATGTTACCTGTTATTATTTGCAAGCAATGCCAGCATGGTGTGTGGCCCCCGAGGTTCTCCGCCATTTAAAAATCGCGCCCATCAAATCCCACACGCCGATGCTGTCCAGATTAGCGAGAAGGTAATGCAATGGGAGGATATTGCGCATTCCCCGATCAGGTTAATTTTCCCCATCAGTTGGACCAGGCGTTGGTTGGAATACCCGTACAACCTGATGGTTTATTATGTCGGCGGGATTCCCCGGGCTGTCAGTACATAGGAAGAACAATTGAGAATATGCGAAAGCACTGGCGCACCACCCATGGATGGTCCCAGTATCCGCATGGTGGTCGAGTAAGCCGTGACGAGCGCGTGCGTGCAGATGCTGAGCTGCAGCGATCCTTTATATCTGTGACATGCCAGCAGATATTCCCATCGCGCAAAGGATCGCATTATATTCACATCCGCAATCCAATCCAAATGAGAACGACGAACCGGCGATCCCCACAGATGATATCCAGGTTGCTGTCCAGGAGCTAGAGAACGCGTGGAAGGAGGCGCAGTCCACGCCGAGTACAATTCAGGCATCTGATATTACCGACGCCAACCCATGGCTGCGCATGACCCGGTGGTCCGAGTATTTAGAAGGAATCGCACCAAAGGATCTAACCGACAGCGTGGCGCCGCCCGAGGAAGAGCCCACAGATCCCGTGGAGCAGGGCGTGCGCCACATTTGGGCCGCCATGGAGCAGGTCGTGCGCAAGAGCCAGCGCGTGGTCCAGCACAGCGGCCAGGCAATCTGCATTGAAGCCATCCGATCTGAAAAGGGTCAAACACCATATCGACCGTTGCAGGCGTATATGGATACCGAGAGCGTGGTTAAGCATATGCAGCCATGGCAGCAAATCCTATTCCACAGGCCTGGGGCGGATGTTGGTAGAGTCTGGTTAGGGTCGGATAACAGTGGGGCGAGGATCGTGCGCTGATTGGCTAGCAGAATTCTCGTTAACATATAGTCGTTCCAAATTATAAACGTAGGGTAGCTCGACAACCCATAATCCACCATAGCTTAAATTTTTATAGTAGATGCAGGACACCTATAAAAGTAACTTGGCAAAATGGGAGCTTGAAATTCCGTTATATAATACTGTGGTGGTGGTCGATGTTTATTATTCGACTTAATTATTTTGTTGGGGTATCACAGCCGACCGAGCCGTTATTACATAACCACCAAACTTGCCAGGTTGCAGGATTATTTAGGAAAGAGGTAAACACACCCAACTGCAGTTATACGATCGCGTTTAAATAAACAATTTAATTTCGGCCATGGAGCACCAGATATTCGAGAAGCTTGATATGTTACCTGTTATTATTTGCAAGCAATGCCAGCATGGTGTGTGGCCCCCGAGGTTCTCCGCCATTTAAAAAATCGCGCCCATCAAATCCCACACGCCGATGCTGTCCAGATTAGCGAGAAGGTAATGCAATGGGAGGATATTGCGCATTCCCCGATCAGGTTAATTTTCCCCATCAGTTGGACCAGGCGTTGGTTGGAATACCCGTACAACCTGATGGTTTATTATGTCGGCGGGATTCCCCGGGCTGTCAGTACATAGGAAGAACAATTGAGAATATGCGAAAGCACTGGCGCACCACCCATGGATGGTCCCAGTATCCGCATGGTGGTCGAGTAAGCCGTGACGAGCGCGTGCGTGCAGATGCTGAGCTGCAGCGATCCTTTATATCTGTGACATGCCAGCAGATATTCCCATCGCGCAAAGGATCGCATTATATTCACATCCGCAATCCAAATGAGAACGACGAACCGGCGATCCCCACAGATGATATCCAGGTTGCTGTCCAGGAGCTAGAGAACGCGTGGAAGGAGGCGCAGTCCACGCCGAGTACAATTCAGGCATCTGATATTACCGACGCCAACCCATGGCTGCGCATGACCCGGTGGTCCGAGTATTTTTAGAAGGAATCGCACCAAAGGATCTAACCGACAGCGTGGCGCCGCCCGAGGAAGAGCCCACAGATCCCGTGGAGCAGGGCGTGCGCCACATTTGGGCCGCCATGGAGCAGGTCGTGCGCAAGAGCCAGCGCGTGGTCCAGCACAGCGGCCAGGCAATCTGCATTGAAGCCATCCGATCTGAAAAGGGTCAAACACCATATCGACCGTTGCAGGCGTATATGGATACCGAGAGCGTGGTTAAGCATATGCAGCCATGGCAGCAAATCCTAGCGTTTATCGCGCGCACCCAGGCGCCACACGGATGGACGAGTCCCCGTACGGGATGACAGCACGGCAGCGCAAGAAATGGCGGCAGTTATGGCACCTCGCCACTACCCACCGGGATATTCCCGGCGAGCCGCAGGACGACGACGCAGCGTGGCGCATGACCCCGATCGAAGGCGCGTGTTTGGAGTTTTGCATCGAGTTGCTAAACCAAAAGCAGCGTAGCCATGAGTACGAGAGCGTGCTTGTATGTGCCATGGCCGTGTTGGGATGGGGCCGGGACAGATGGCAGGGCCCGGAGAGTTATCCCCGATCTTATCGCGTGTGATCAAGGTGGCGCGCTTTATAATTGTCCAGAAAGCGCTTTGGTTGGATCCGAATCCCGAGGAGATTATCGCGGTGTGGCAGAAGAAGAGTAACTGCGCGCAGTGGGTGCTCGCCAGCGCCGACGACGAGCTGGAGGATATTTATTCGGACGAGGGATATTACAGTCAACCAGAGCAAGGCATCCCATCATCGCCCCCACATCGCCCATTACCAGCAGTAATCCCCAACCGATAGTGAATATCCGCCGGCAGAATCGCGGGAAAACATTCCAGGAGCACGTGGAGTGGATGGTGCAGCGGTTTATGGTGCGTGGCACCCACAGTCCAATACAAACGTTGCAGGATTGGCGCACGTACGGGTTAAAGATCCATTATAATACCACGGCGCCCGGGCACATTACATGGAACCATGGCGACGAGCTCGGATACAAGCATATCACATTTACCATGGGCGATTTCCGCGGATTTGTCCATGGATTGGTCGGGGCCACACGCCAGATATTGTGCGACATACTGTGCGTGACAGCGCGGGAAGACATTCCCAGTATTCCATGGCACGCGATCTACGACGACCCCACGCAGGCCACGGTGGGATGGAATTTTTGCGGGATCAGCGCACGCAATGGCCGGTGGGGCCCAAGTGGATGATCGGCCGGTTGCGGGCCGAGCCGGCCGTGCAGAAGGAGTTTACCGTCCGGCGCCAAGCCCGACGGCTGCACATGCCGAAGGTGGCGCAGTATCTGGAGCGCGTGGCGCGATTTAAGGAGAAATTAGCAGTGCTTGTTCACGTGGTATCCGGCCAGCCGGCTCGCGCACCCGAGTTATTAAGCATTCAACATGTGAATACCGTGGCGAATCGACAGCGCAATATCTATATCGAGGACGGGATGGTGGCGTTGGTGACGGGCGTACCACAAGGGGTTTTACGCGAGTAACGATATAAAGATCATTCATCGATTTGTGCCACGGGAGGTGGGTGAATTAATTGTGTGGTATTTATGGTTGGTATTACCATTTGTGCAGCAACTAAGCGCATGGCATGCGAAGCAGACGCAGGGCACCACGGCGCAGGGCATGCACGCAACGCAGGGAACGCACGCAGTGCAGGGCACCACCACAGCGCAGGGCACGAACGCAACGCAGGGCACGCAGGGAATACGCGCAGTACAGGGCACCACCACAGCGCAAAAACCACCACAGCGCAAAGCACCACCACAGCGCAGGGCACCACGGTGCAGGGCGCTCACGCAACGCAGGGCACGTACACATCGCAGGGCACGTACGCAGCGCAGGGCACCACGGCACAGGGCATGGACGCAACGCAGGGCACGCACGCAACGCAGGGCACGTACACATCGCAGGGCACGCGCACGCAGCGCAGGGCACGCACGCAGCGCAGGGCACCACACAGCGCAGGGCACGCACGCAGCGCAGGGCACCACAGCGCAGGGCACGCACGCAGCGCAGATCCGCGAAGATGCGTTTTTATGGGGCCCCGACCCCGGAACCCGGCGCAAATGGACGTCCGAGCGGTTCCGGGAGGTGTTAAAGCGCGAAACCAAGACCCGGTTAAAAGAAGCCATTAATATCCAGTGGTATCGGGATATCGCCATTGGGATTAGCCGACGATTTTGCGACCCACTGCCGCGTTTGCCAGCAACATGCAGGAGGAGAGAGACTTGGCGCAGGCTGTGTTAAACGCCGACACCGAGGAGGGTATGGACGAGGAGCAGTGGTTAGGCCATATTGCAGACTTGCAGGCGGCGCATTCATCCCAATTGGCGGGTGGAGTGTACGGCCGTGGTATTATGGAGCAGCCCGGGACCACGGCACATCGCCGTGCAATGTTTCGACTCTCCAGCACCGATTGGCACCGGTTTTGGGGTTTGCATCCGCCGCGGAGCCCAGCCCGTTGGGGAAGCGCAAGAGATCACCATGGGAGGACGAAGCCGAGGAGGGCCGAGTGGTCCGACGTCACCGGTTAAATATCGCAGATATGCGCACCACGTTGCAGCACATGACCGGGCAAGAGGATATCCAGTTCCGGGGCGTCCAAGCACCGGCGTTGCGCGCCATTCAGGACGGCAAGAGCCCGGTGGTCGCCATTATGCGCACCGGAGGGGAAAAAGCATGTTGTTTATGTTACCTGCATTCGCCGAGCCCAGTGGTACTACCATTGTGGTCGTGCCATTAATATCATTGCGGAACGATATGGTGCGGCGCTGTCGCGAGTTGGGTATATCCTGCATTGAATGGGATAGTCGACGGCCACCGGACGAAGCGACAATTGTACTGGTCACACCGGAATCCGCGGTGCAGGAGGATTTTCAAACGTTTATTAACCGGTTGCAGCAAACACGCCGGTTAGACCGGATCGTGATCGACGAATGCCATGTGATATTAAACGACCAAACGGATTTCCGACCCGAGTTGCGACAGCTGGGGCGGTTGAACCACGCGCGAACCCAGATGGTGTTATTAACTGCCACGTTGCCGCCGCGGTTGGAGGCGAAGTTATTCCGGCGCATGGAGTATTCCCGCGAGCAAGTCCATATATTTCGGGACCGGACAAGCCGTCCCAACGTGGCGTATCGCGTGTGGCGGCCCGAGCTGGGTCGGCGTTCCATGCAGTGGTTTACCAGCGAGCCGGTGCTCGCGTTTATCCGCGAGCGAATCCAGCGCGCCAAGGATGGCAAGGTGGTGGTATACGGCCATGTGGTCCGTCAGGTAGTGGAGATTGCACGCGAGTTAGCGTGCGAGGCGTACTACAGCAAGCAGGTTGACAAGCCATCTATATTACAGCGATTTACCCGGGGCGAGGCGCGAGTAATTACCGCCACCAGTGCATTGGGCATGGGTGTGGATATCCCCGATATTCGCAGTATTATCCATATTGGAACACCGCGGTCGTTGTTGGAGTACGGGCAGGAAAGTGGGCGAGCCGGACGGGATAGCCAGCGCAGCGAGGCGATTATTATCCAGCCCGAGGGCTGGGACGAGCCCACGCCGGAGACGCCAGAGGCCGTGGCGGATCGCGAGTTGGTGGACGAGTACCTCGGGGTGGCGCCCGGGGTGGGATGTCGACGGTTTGTATTGGACGCGTACATGGACGAAACAGTGAATGGCTATACGCGCCGATACTGTCAGGATATTGATTCCACCGAGGCACTCTGTGACGGCTGTGACGCCGATTGGCTCGCGCAGGAGTCGGTTTGCATGTCCCCGGACAGATATTCCCCGGACACCCGCATGGACGATCTCGCCAGCACGACAAGCCCACCACGCGAGATTAGCGCTACGGGCAGTCCCCATTCCCATGGTAGTGGCGAATTATTTCCATTATCGCATATTATACCACAGAGCACGCAGAATATCGCGCCAAATCCCACACGCCGGTCCCAATCCCATGACAGTACAGAATCATTTGAAACTCAAGTAATATCGCATGTTATACCACAGAGCACGCAAAATATCGCCCCCAATCCCACGCCCACGGTTAGTATCGCCGAACGCCAGCGCCAACGGGTGCAAGACCAGCGCCATGCAGCGCCCCGTATTCAACACCAGGTGCAAGATGCACGGCAGTGGTTGGACGAGGAAACTATTGAAAACGAGATAGCACCATGGCAGAAAAAGTGCTATATTTGCACCATTGCAGGACGGGAACGGAACGAACACGAGTTATACTTTTGTCGTGGGCCCAAAAGCGACAAAGCCAAGGCATGGGTTAATCTAGTTCGCCAGTATAAGATTCCATTCGCTAGATATACCGCTTGTTACCGCTGTTATATGCCGCAGACGATCTGTCGACGATGGGAGGTACTAGATGGCCATCCAACACAAACCGAGTGTGTATATAAGGATATATTGGTCCCCATGACAGCTGTAATACTGTACGGCCCGTGGAGGAGCAGATCCAGCCACTATGGCAGCGCCGGTTGCAGCAGCACGGGTGGACGCAAACAACACCATGCAAGTGTTGCAGTTTTTGGGGCAGGCCACGGAGGGAGCCAAAGGCCAGCACAGCCAGTTATTCGCATTATTTTGCTGGCTATGGCAGATCTGCAAAGAATTGGAGGGGATCCACGGGGTTTGTGGTATAACTAGTTAGTATACAGTGTAGCAAGAACAGTAATATATTTATAATTGTTATTTAGACTAATAAGTGTATATAATATAGGAGCACATGCAGAGCATATATAATATAGGGATATAAACAGCGGTGGACACACGTACTAGGCAGAGGTATATACCAGGGAACCAAGAGAAGGTACGCACCGGGGGGAAGGACGCACTGGGGGGATAAATATACCAGGAAAGGATACATACTAGGGGGGGGACGCACGCACCGGGGGAGGCATGTACCGTAAAAGGATATATACTAGGGGGGAGGTACGCACCGGGAGAAGGCATGCACCAGGAGGAGGCACGCACCGGGGGGAGGTACGCACCGGGGGGGGTACGCACCGGGGAAGGCATGTACCGGGGTAAACACGCACCGGGGAAACACGCACCGGGGCAAAGACGCACCAGAACAAACACGCACCGGGGCAAACATGCAATGGGGGAGGCATGTACCAGGGGAGGTACGTACCGGGGCAAAACACACCGGGGTAAACACACACCAGGGCAAACACGCACCGGGGTAAACACGCACCGGGGCAAATATATATCAGGGGACGCATATATTAAAGTAAACAAACGCAAAGTATATATACTAGGTGGAGGTATGCACCGGGAGAAGGCATGCACCGGGAGAAGGCACGGACAGGGGGAGGTACGCACCGGGGGGAGGTACGCACCGGGGGAGGTATGTATCAGGGGGGAGGTACGCACCGGGGGGGGTACACACCGGGGGAAGGCATGTACTAGGGCAAAGGCGCACCGGGGTAAACACACACCAGGGCAAAGACGCACCAGGGTAAACACGCACTGGTGGAAGGTACGCACCGGGGGAGGCATATACCAGGGGAGGTACGCACCGGTGGAAGGCATATACCAGGGGAGAGGTATATACTAGTAAACACACGCACCGAGGGGGTATATACCCAGGGGAGATATACACTGGGGGTAGATATGCAGCGGGGAGATATGTATACTAGGAGGAGGTACACACACACTGTGGGGAGGTAACACACCAAGGGGATGTATACACACCGGGGGGAGGTATGCACACCCGGGGGGGAGGTATACACACCGGGGGAGGTATGTACACCGGGGGAGGCATGTACTAGTGTAAATATGTATTGGGGAACATAGTCACCGCAGAGAGATACGCACCAGCGGGAGCCACGTACCAGGGGGAGGTACGCACCGGGGGAGTTACGTACCAGGGGAGCCATGTACCGGGGGAGATATATACCAGGGGGAGGCACACGCACCGGGGGAGGCACACGCACCGGGGGAGGTACATACCAGGGGCAGGTATGCACCGCGGGGAGATATATACCAGGAAAAAAATACGCACCGGGGAGAGGTACGCACTGGGGAAGGTATGCGCTGGGGGAGGTATATAGTAGTAAAAAATATATACTAGAGGAAGGTATAAAAGTATAAAAAGGCATGTATTAGAAAAAGCACACGTAAAATATATACACGCAGGGAGGTGTATAAAGTAAAGGGAGCACATGCTAAGTATATACACCAGGGATATATATATACCAGGGGACGCATGTACTAGGGGACAGGGGATATATATACTAAAATTATATATGCCAGGGGGAATATATATATACTAGGGTACACACACACAACAGGGGGGGAGATATGCACCGAGGGAAGGGTACACACCGGGGGAAGGCATGTACCAGGTATAGGGAGGTACGCACCGGGGGAGGTGTATACCAGGGCAAGGCATATACCCGGGGGAGGTACGCACTAGGGGAAGGCATATAGCAGTTAACACGTGTACCGGGGGTGAAATACGTACCAAGGAGAGGTATACACCGGTGGGAGGTACGCACCGGGGGAGGTATATACCAGGGGAGTATATATACGCACCGGGGACCGGGGGAAGCATGTACCAAGGTAAACACGTACCGGGATAAACACGCACCAGGGTAAACACGCACCGGGGGATATATATATACCGGGAAAAAATATATACCAGGGGAGGTACGCACCAGGGGCAGGTATGCACCGGGGAGATATATACTAAGGGGAGGTATATACACAGGGGAGATATACACACCGGGGAGAGAACACACACACACCGGGGGAGGTGCGCACCAGGGGGAGCCACGTACCAGGGGAGGCATATACCAGGGGAGCCATGTGCCGGGGGAAATACATACCAGGGGCAGATACACACACCGGGGGGATACGCACCGGGGCAGGCATGCACCGGGGGAGGCATGTACCAGGGGTAGGTATATACTAGTAAACACACGAACTGGGGAGATACAGGGATATATAGGGGGGCAGGACGCACCGGGGGGACACATGTATCGGGAAACCGGGGTAAATATACACTGGGGGGACACATGTACCGGGGTAAGGACGCACCAGGGGGGGGGATATATGTACCGGGGAAAGGAAATATACTGGGGGAGGTATACACCGGGGCAAAAACACATACCAGGGTAAAACACGCACCGGGGTACGCACCGGGGCATACACGCACCGGGGAGGCATATACCAGGGGGGGGGCACCGGGGTATACACCGGGGCAAAACACGCATACCAGGCATGTACCAGGGGGAGGTACACACCGGATATACGCACCGGGGGAGGTATACACACTGGGGGTAAACACGCACCGGGGGAGGTACGCATACCAGGGGAGGGTAAAGGTACGCACCGGGGGACGCACCGGGCAAATACCAGGGGGAGGTACGCACCGGGGTAACCGGGTGACGCACCGGGGGAGGCACAGGCAGTGTAAGGCAAGGAAATACACCAGGGGGGGTAAACACGCACCGGGGCAAACACGCACCGGGGGTAAACATACCAACCGGGGTACACATGTACCGGGGGACGCATATATTAAAGGAATAAACGCAAACACGGGGGAATATACACAGGCAGTGTTTTAACCAGGGGGCAAACATACACACACTGGGGGTAAACACACACCGGGGGAGACACACACCGGGGGAGGCATATACCAGGGGGGAGATACACACCAGGGCAAACATGCACTGGGGGGCAAACATACCAGGGGGGTACGCACCATAAACCGGGGGGTAAACATGTACCGGGTGACGCATATATTAAAGTAAAAATAAACGCAAACTATATATACCAGGGAATATACACAGGCAGTGTTTTAAAGCATATACAGAGTATATATAGCACCAGGGGAAATACACACACTGGGGGTAATACACACCGGGGGAGGCACACACCGGAGGAGGTATACACCGGGGAGACATACACCAGGGGCAGCCACGTGCCGGGGAAGATACACACCGGGGGAGGTATATACCAGGGGGAGGTACGCACCGGGGTAAACATGTACCAGGGGTGAACACATATATTAAAATAAATACACACGGGGGATATATACCAGGGGATATACGCAGGCAGGGCATAAAGGTATACCGGGGTTAATACACACCCGGGGGGTATACACCGGGGTGAGGTTTGCACCAGGGGTAAGGTATACACCGGGGAGGCATACACCTGGGGAAGCCACGTGCCGGGGATATATACACCGAAAAAATACACACCAGGGGAGGTACGCACCGGGGGAGGCGAAATACCACCGGGGCAAGGCAAACCCGGGGAGGTACGCACCGGGGTAAACACACACCGGGGTGAACATGAACCGGGGAGGTACACACCAGGGGGAGGTATGCACCGGGGTAAACCGTAGGAAGGTGAAATACTAGGAAACTATATATACTAGGAGGAATATACACAGGCACCGGGTAAAAGCATACACCAGGGGAAGTATGCACCGGGGGTAAAATATGCACCGGGGGAGGTACACACCACCAGGGGAGAATACACTGGGGAAGGACACACACGGGGGTAGATATATATACCGGGGGAAAAATACACACCGGGGCAAGCACACGCACCGGGAAAGGTATACACCGGGGGAGGTGTACGCTGGGGGAAGGCATATACCAGGGGTTAGGTACGCACCGGGGGTAAATGTGTATTAGAATGAAATATATACTAGGGGGAAATAAACGCAACCTATACGCACCGGGGGGAATATACACAGGCAGTAGGGGAGGCATGCACCGGGGGGTCGGGGGATACACACACCAGGGGAAAATATACACCGGGGAGGCACGCACCGAGGGGGGTATATACCTGGGGTAAACATGCACCAGGGGGGCAAACACGCACCGGGGGAAACACGTGCCGGGGCAAACATATACCAGGGGAGAACATGTACCGGGAAAAACACGCACCGGGGGCAAACACGCACCGGGGTAAACAAACACGTACCAGGAATAAACACGCACCGGGGGTAAAAACACGCACCGGGGTAAACACCGGGTGTTAACACCGGGGTAAACACGTGCCGGGGCAAACATATACCGGGAAAACACGCACCAGGGTAAACACGCACCGGGGCAAACACGCACTGGGGAAACAGGGGGAGGCATATACCAGTAAACACCGTGCCGGGGAAAACACGCACCGGGGTAAACGGGGAAATATACCAGGGGGTAAAACAACGTGCCGGGGCAAACATGCACCGGGGGGAAACACGCACCAGGTTTAAAAATACACGCACCGGGGCAAGGTACGCGCCGGGGCGCCGGGGAGGTATGGGGTAAACATACGCAGCCAGGGGAAAATAACACCATAACAGGAGGGGGGTATACGCACCGGGGGGAGGTAACGCACCGGGGGTAAAGAGAGTTT